TCGAATACTTTTTTTCTACAGTCCGAATCAACAGCGATTCATTATGAATGGTGTACTATATTTACAGGTATGCAACGTCCCTTGTTCCATTCCATGGAGTCAAGGATTATTTTTGGGATTCTGGTTTAGAGTAATACGAAACCCATGGCTTGTTTGGTGGGTAATCTGTGGGTATCCTCATGTCAACTGGGAATCTCACAGACTCCTTCTTGTTGGCGGCCTCGAATAACTCAGGACTCACTTCTTTCAATTCGTTCATGGCAGTTTTTATGCTTTCATACTGCTTAACGAGTTGCCTGTGTCTCTTCTCCTCGTTCTTCCGCTTGAACAACTTCCAAGCGTTTGTGATGGTCTGGTGTTTAATCAAATCTTCTTTGCAAAGCCTGAGCACTTTGGGCTGCTTTTTGGAGGCAGACAAGACAGAAAGCTGGTTGACAACTCTCTGCGTCTCTGGAGAAACTGTCGTGACCTTGTTACGGACAGCATGTCTGCTGATCGACCCAATGTTTCTTGTAAGCATAGTGACCGTTGGATAGTGAGACTACGAATGCATGAAAATTTTGAGAAGTAGCTGCCGCACCCGTACACCGCAAAGATCAAATAGCTGGGTAGATTCGGAAGTTATGGTAAGAAGACGATTTCTGTTTAGACGATCCCATTTTCTTCAATACTACTTCATATGCTATCATCCATCGGCATTACTTTTAGTTAAGAAGAGTTGTTGGTCCGCTGGACAGAGAAACCCTCGTGAAAATTGACATTTACTGAAACATACTTTCAACATACAATTATAATAAACATCTAATAGCTCAAAAGCATCCGAATTTTCCTCATCCAGACCTTTTGTAGGAGGCTACCTCTGATATGTGGCGATTCTTGGCTGTAATACTAAGCCGCGCACGTGATCCAAGGCTGGAGCAACTACCCGACCTGACGTCACATATCTGTTATTTACTTTACTTTTATCAACAATGGGTTTGTTTAGCAAAGACGACAAGAAACTGTCAGAAAACAGGCCACCAGCCCCTCTTCCATCAGACCAAGGTGCTTCTGGTGCTCCATCTGATGCACCCCCATCTTACGACCAGCTGCAGCAGATTCACACTGGTAACGATGAGACGCCCCAGTACAATGACAACAACTACGGCCCCAGCGATTATCCTCCAGAGAAGCAAACAGGCCCCAATGGATACCCAATTGATAAGAAGGGAGATGGTTTTGAGCAGCCTCCTCCTCAACAAGGCCAGTACTTCCAGGCTCCACCACCTCCACAGAACCAAGGATCTGGTTGGGAGGCACCAGGGTGGGGTGGAGCTCCACAGCAGCCACAGGGCTACCAACAAGGAAATGCTTCCATGCCTCCTAATGCCTACGTGATTCCTCCTAGAACTGTCAATATCGCCACTGATAATGGACAGTACACTAGACCAGAGTATCAGCAGTATAAGGCAAGGGATCAACAACGGATGGCCCATGGCGACTTTCCAAAACCTAGAGAGGCTTTTAAGCATGGTGCTCCATTAGAACCAAGCAACAAGAGTCAAGGCAAGTCCTCAGGAGGATTCCCCGGGAGCTCAGGTAGTTCTTACTACAATGCCGCTAATAGGTAACATTAATTAGGTACAAATACTTTTGACGTTAAACATTATGATAATCAGAACACAGCATCACCATTGTAGGTCCAGCCACCAAACTGCTTCTGAACGGACTCACTCAAGAAGTCATCAACAACGGAGTCCTGCGGGCGTTCATTGGTGAAACTGTGATCGAAATTGGACGTGTCTAGCAAACTCTCAACTTGAGGTTTAAAGGGAGGCAAGTAGGCCTTGTCTAAAAGTTTGTTCCAGTCTATGTCTTGGAAAAATGGATGATTCTTGATCTCCTGAGCGTCATCCATTCTGTTGGCAGGATCTTTCTGTAAAAGCTTGGTCAAAAGGTCCTTAGCCTCTGTCTCCTCAAGGAAGCTTGGGAACTTCAATTCATTTTGCATAATCTTCTTGTACATCGTTGGCACATCGTCGTCGTAGAATGGCGGCAAACCTGTCAACATCTCATATAACAATGTACCAAGTGTCCACCAGTCCACACTACGAGTGTAGCCTTGATTCAAGAGAAGCTCAGGAGCAAGGTATTCAGGAGTTCCACAGAAGGTGTTTGTCTTATCCTCATTGGACATGTTGAGCTTGCATAAGCCGAAGTCACACAAGGCGATGTGTCCCTGGTAATCAAGCAAAATATTCTCGGGCTTCAAGTCTCTATAGATGACATTAAGGTTGTGCAAACTTTCTAACGCTGTAAGAAGCTCGGCAATGTAGAATCTGGATCTGTTCATGGAAAACTTACCCGACTTCTGCAAATGGTAGAACAATTCACCACCATTAATGAAGGACAACACCAAGTATAACTTTTCTGGAGATTGGAATGAGAACTTAAGTGGAACAATAAATGGATTAGTGATGCGAGCCAACACAGTTCTTTCTGCAAGTGTATGAGTAACCTCCATTCTAGAGATAATATGCTGCTTTCTGAGGGTCTTCAACGCGTAGATCTGTCTAGTGTCTTTCTTCATCACTTGCATGACCTTTCCAAAAGAGCCTTTACCAATGACTTTGAGCAAGTCAAAGTCTTCAATTGACAAGTGGTTCTTGAGGAGCGGCTTGAAGTCGATGCTCACGTTGATTTCACCAATGGCCATATCGTCAGCAACCAGTTCGAAGCTCTTTTTGAACTTGAGGTTTTCGTGATCAATCAAACGAATGGTTTTGTTGTGGCAGCGCAAGTTCAAGGGCAACTTGATCTGACCCACGAGTAAATCACCAATGTTGGAGCCGTCCTTGGCGAAGAACTGCTTCTTGGTACCTTTCTCTTGCTCCGGGATCAAGTTTCTAGGTAATCTTATAAATAAACTGATGTTGAGGAAGTTCGATCCTGTGGAGCCGCCCCCTACTGTTTTCGTGACATCGAAAGACACAACTCTATCCCACTGAGAGCTGTCAACAGTGCCACCCCTAGGTTCAATCATTAGCACGTTATTGTCAAATTCCATTGTCATGTACAACAAGGCCTTAGTGACTCTGTCTCCGGTGGCATTGGGGATGTTGATATTAGACGGTAAGTAGGAGGCAGCAGCGGAGCCCTCGATAAGATCCGAGGTGCTGGAGTTGGCCTGCTCCTTCTGAATTAAATCGTTGAGTCGCTTGGAAAGGGTAGAGCCTGTGTTGGAATCATTCGTATTTGAAGCCAAAGCATGTAAAATTTGCTTATTGTTGACGATCTTGATTGGAAGCTCCACGTTTTGAGAGCGGTAACACTTCACTGTAAGCAAGCCCGGGTTTGAAGTAGCAGCAGGATTATGCGGTGAGCTCTTTGAAGAGTCCGCCAGCTGATCTTTCTGTTTGGAAGCATGCAGCGATGGAGAAGGTGTGTCTCTTTCGTTGAGAGAAAGCTTCAGCATGTCAGGAACCGAGGAGTTTTGCACTAGGGTGGAGCGAGACTCACTCGAGTTGCGAGGAGAGTTGGACTGCTGCGGCGTCTCCTTATCGGATGAGCCGAATCTAAATTTGTTCTTGAATCTGAGCATACTGAAGTAGTTGATGGGGTGGCTGATGAAGGCTGGTATTGTGATAGAGATAGCATGCGTATGCAGGAGTCGGTCGGCAACAGCAAGAGCAATAGGGGCCTGGCACGAGCGAAAAATATTCTTGGGTAGAATAAGTGGGCGATTAGTTTCCAGATACTAGACAATGCCAAATTAATCGTTTCCCTCAAATTCGGGCTTCGATGGCGCAGAAAGGCTCGTGAGGACAGAGTGAGACAAGGGCCTCGGAAAAATAGGCATTGGCGGTTTTGCAGAAAAAAACTCAAAATAGGGGTAGAGGAGGCCTGTAAAAGAAGAAATATTATCGAGGCTCCACGGCAAAGTGTTGTAGTCATCGGGGATCTCGGATCTGGAAAGAATCTCAGATAGATTTAGCCGCGACAGGCCGCGGGCCCAAAATGGCTGCGAAATGGCTTGTCAGAGGCAGTACAACCCGCATTACCGAATCGGATTGGGAGATTCTCCAAGTGGGGTTTTCGTTAATTCATGAGATAATCCGGGAATGCCCCTTTTAATCAGCTTTGCTACGTCGTTGTTGATCCTCATTTGCATCGGCTGTGGTGGCACATAAGGAGAGAGGAGGACGAAACGCAGCCTTCCGATTTTTCATCTCCTACCTACAGACGAGGACCTGGCACAATCGTCCACACCAGTTTGTTTATCTCATCAACCTTGTTTATCTCAAGAAGATTTTTTTTTCTAAACCCTGTACAATTCCTTCACCAGTTTACCTTTCGTAATCAGCGTTTAAGCATTCTGACAATCAGAACACGGGTGGACTAGGAACGCTCAAGCTCCGCGAAACACGGCCACATTCCCCCAGCCACTCGGGCCCCCAGGGCAGTGACAATACGTACCTCGAGGTGAACGTTCAAAGAAAGACAATCAAGAAATTTTGCAAACACCCTTGGCATCAAAACTTTGAGATTGAAAATATCTTGATTTTTTTTTTTGTGTTGTCTTCGCAACCGCCGCATGCCGCCCACCGTTACTAAGCAGTGCCAGGGCTCCATGAATTAAGTGTCGCAGCCTAGCCTCCCTCGACTGCCCCACTGCGACCCGATATACTGGAGTGTGGCAGCCACCAGGAATACCACGTGTATTTTGTAGTCTCCATGGAATTGGACAAATCTATTGGATGTTTTGATTGCACTGACAATTAAATACTTATTTCAGCGTAAAAAAATTATTTTCTTCATCCTTCTCCATCACCATCTCCCCCCACTGCTCTCTGGAGAAGTAGAAGAGATCGCGAGGCCGCCCCTGCACCCGTACCGTGTCTGTTTGTTTACTGCGAAAACGTGAATTCCTGGCGCCAGATCGTGCTACAAATGCGCACTAACCCAAAACCTGTTTACTACACCACTGCCCTAGCATCCCACCCTAGTCATTCTTTCGGTCCATGGCCTCCATCGTCCACAAATCCATGGAGTTCTCGTCCCACGCGTCGACGGCCAACGTCGACAAGGTGGTTGAGTCCGTGACAAACGCTACCAAGCGCTTGTCCCAGATCTCCACCACGACGAACAACTCCAGCAAGAAAAAGAAAACGCAGAACCGTATTGGGCCCTGGAAGCTCGGTCGGACTCTCGGCAGGGGATCCACTGGTCGGGTCCGTCTTGCCAAAAACGTCGACACCGGCCGCCTAGCTGCCGTCAAGATCGTGCCCAAGCTGAACTTCAAAAAGCTTGAAAACCCCAAGTACAAGAACCTGGACGCCACAAAGCTCCCGTATGGCATTGAACGTGAAATCATCATCATGAAGCTCATCTCACACCCAAACATCATGGGATTATACGATGTCTGGGAAAACAAATCAGACTTATACCTCATTCTCGAGTACATCGAAGGCGGCGAACTTTTCGACTACTTGATCAAACGTGGCCGCTTGCTGGAATACGAGGCCATCAACTACTTCAAGCAGATCATCCACGGCATAGGCTACTTGCATCAGTTCAACATTTGTCACCGTGACTTGAAGCCAGAGAACTTGCTCCTTGACTTCAACAAAAACATCAAAATTGCAGACTTCGGCATGGCTGCGCTTCAGGTCAACGAAAAGCTTTTAGAGACATCTTGTGGTTCTCCTCACTATGCATCGCCTGAAATCGTCGCAGGTAAGAACTATCATGGTGCCCCTTCAGACATTTGGTCCTGTGGTATCATTCTTTTCGCCTTGTTGACAGGACACTTACCATTCGACGACGAGAACATTAGAAAACTTCTCATGAAGGTCCAGAATGGTAAGTTCATCATGCCAAGTGCTCTTTCCTGGGAGGCGAAGGACCTCATTTCTAGAATGTTACGCGTCAATCCAAACGAGAGAATCCTGATTGGCTCCATCTTGAAACACCCACTCTTGACAAAATACCCTGATCCTCAGTCGATCAGCTGCAAATCAGACAATGACTTGATTCTTCATTCGAATATAAGGCCAATTCAGCTGAGGGAGAAGATCGACAATGAGATCTTGCGGAACTTGAGTATTTTGTTCCATAACTGCAACGAGGAGTACATCGTCAAGTGCTTGTTGGCTCAGGAACGTTCACCGGAAAAGATGTTCTATTACCTCTTGATGAAGTACAGAAACGAGCACTTGCTGAACTCCCCCTCGAACTACGCAGCAGACGATGACGAAGATGCTAACCATGCTGACGAACCTCCTCGTTCTGCGTCGACCATGAAAGCTACGATAACTGATGGTGACTCCAGCTCAAAGACGTCCATGAAGAAACTTCCCCGCTCATCATCTACTACCTCCACAGCTTCCTCTAGAAGTCGCAAACGTCCCTTGGCAAACGTCACAAACAAAACCTTCACAGCTTCGAATGCTAGAAACAAGCGGGCTAATAGCAGACCGGCCTCGCGAAATGCTTCTAGCCGATCTCTTCAAAGCAAGCACCGTGTTCTTCTGGCTCAAAATCAAAACGTGAAAGTGGAACCCTCAAAACCAATTTCAAGAACAGTGACTCCGCACGCGAATCAATTGAATCAAATTGCTGCATTGGAGGAGGACAAGGAAAATGCATTTGTTGATGAGGTCTCAACTATATCAAAGAGTAATCCTCGGGGTGTCACGAGAAATGGAACCATCGATCAGTTCCAGAGGATTTGTCAGGAGGTGTTTGGTTCAGATGTTGATCACAAATCTGTTTACGACATGACTCTTACGCTGGATAAGAGGAACCTTACTAAGGATACAATTCACAAGCTTGAAGTTTTGAATAATCGTATGAGCAAGGCTTCCTTGGTGCTTCCAAAACTTCCAAAAACTCCCGAGTCATCATCACGCAATATAAAGACGCTAACTGAGCCTCAACATGAAAATGATCTGCGCCAGAAAAAGCTTCTTGGAATTAGGCAAAGAGAGAAGGACCTCGCCGCATCAGTTCAAAGAAAGAATGACGAACGTGAACTCCGATACAAGAGGAATGAGGAACACCTTGCTCAGGCAGAAGCTGAACGTAAGAAGCAGTCTCAGCTTTTACAAGCAAAGCTGATCGAGGCCTCCAGAATCATCAACAGGAATGCATCTCAGAGGATTTCTTCAGAGCCTTTTCACCCGACTTCATTGGATCCAAAATCTTCCTTACTCCGGTCCAAAACACTTGCATCCAGAACGCCTTCACTCTCAGCTAACCCTAGAAGGGATAAGAATGCCTTTGTGTTACAGAGATTGGGCATTGAAGTTAAGCAACCTCAAGCACCTAGTCGCCAGACCTCCTTCATGAAGACCTCCACCTCAAAGGATTTAGCATCTGTCCTCAAGGAAGAAGGCGAACCCAACACCGAAAACGCAGCTGACTACTCCATTGACCTCAACAAAACCCTTCCAAGCATCAAGTCGCAGAAATCACAGAAAACATTGAGTGGTGAGGATGAGTCGAAGTCGGTTCATTCTAAGAAATCCTCGAGGGACAGCCAATCTACACTTCGGAAATCTATGGAACAGCCTGAACAGACCAGAAGAGAGAGCTTCAAACCTTTGCTGGAGACCATTGCTTCCGGGTCTGGTGACACCAACGAGGCAGCAGGCCGTGACTCCGATCTCACCCGTATGAGCGTCCGCACACATCCTGACTTGATTCCAAATCCAAGATTCTCTAAGTTCTCGTTCAATGATTTCCTTAAGCCCAAGATTGATCAAGCCGATGCTACCATTCTCGAGGAAACTCGAAGCTCGGGAACTGTGAAGCGTTCATCTAGACAAACCCTTAACACGAAGCAAGGTAATGGCCTCATCAAGAAGTCGCCAACACAGGACTTACAAGGTTTGGGAATCATTATGGATAAGAGTAATGAGCATTCGAGAAACGCGTCTAAGACCTCTGGAGAACACAACTTTGTTTCGATCAATGCTTCTGATGACGATTATAGTGCAAACTGTACTACACTCCAAAAAGAAGCCATTAGTATAACTGAGGATTCAGAGTTTAGTGGAGGAGAGGAGTACAACTTATCGCATCATATTGTCGATATGAACAGAACTGAAGAGGAACAGAGAAGATTGCTGCTTAAGGCCTCTCAGAGAAGTGCATCACAAGTTATCGAGGATGATATCCAAGTCAACACAGCACACAAGAGTTCCAAGGAGACTTTGGTGGGCGTTAATGAGGAAAGAAGCTGGTCTCATAAATCTCATAACACCTTGCTTCCAGAGGAGCTCTCTTCGCATGGTAGAAGCAAGAGCTTCTCGGCCAAGTCAAACACCTCAAATCACTCTGAGTTCAGAGATGAGGAAGTTCGTGCAAATGTCTTGGACACTTCGTCTCTTGTTGAGAACACAAATGCTTCTTATGAAGCGGAGAACCCAGCTGAGAGAGACGATCAAAGTTACGGTGGCGAGGAGGAGCAAATTGATGTCGCTACGAGACATGAAGTCGACGATGACGGTGAGATTCCACAGAGATCACCAAACCGCCCTCGCCGCCAAACGAATGGCTCACTTCGCCGGTCAGCAGCATCGACTCAAATATTCAGCACTATGCACATGAAGGAAGCAGCCACGCAGGGTACACCGCCAATGGATACTGAACCCGTTGCTCAAGTTCCACAACAAGAGGCCACAACGCCAGTGTTTGGCCAGTTGCCGCTTGGAGTGTCGCTGAAGCCTGCGAGAAGTCTGAAGAAGTGGAGTATCAAACCAAGGAGGAAGGCTCCAAATGCGCCTGGTGATGACATAAAAGAGGAATCAAAAACTAGAGGTCACAACCGATTCTCGGGTATTTCCCTTGTGTCCAACGCTAAAAGGTTCGTTGCACCCAGGTCAGATGAATCGCCTAAATCACCTTCCGGCGCTGGCTGGTTCAAGCGCTTCTTCATGTCATTATCTAAGGGCAACAGCAAAGATGAACATGTCGAGGAGGAGCAGAAGGCAAACAAGAATGTTCACATTATCGACACCTTTTTGGATTCCGGTGATCTCATGCGTATCATAAAGAACCAGTTGAAGATCAAGGAAGTGGAAGGATCCGTGACAAATGTCGAAATTGACGACGAATTCGCATTGATCAGCGGTGTTGTACCATCCCGATTCGCTAGGGGAAGAAAATTGGTTTTCAAGATCGAAGTGATCGATTTGGTGAACTCCTCATCCTTGCATCTTCTTAAGGTGAAGGGTTCCAAGACGGGCTTCAAAAACCTCGTCGATGTTGTGGACTTTGTCATCAAGAAGGAGGAGGAAACAACCCCCAAAACCAAACAATCCACTCATTAAACTACTTTTAGTAATGCATAATATACATATAGACGTTGAGTCTGCACTAGAGCCATGATGTTGTATCTGGGTGCGAAAAATACACCAACCTCACCACCACCTCAACTATCATGAGTGGAATGATTGTCCGTGCCCTTAACTGGGACATCGGCTATGAACAACGGTTTTTAGCTGTGAACCCGTTGGGTGACGAGGTGATTCTATATCAAACTGAAAACGAGGATCCAGCCGAGAATTCTGAGAATCTTCTCAAAGTGCATTCCCATTCGGGTATTGAACATATCCAATGTCTTGGTTACTCCAAGGTCCATCCTGGTTGGACAGGTGTGGGTACAATGGATGGAATTGTACACATCTTTGATGTAACCAAGAACGATACGTCCACATTGAAACTTCGGCTGAAGCAACATAGACCATGCAACTCGTTATCCTTCAACAACAACGCGCTTGTGGCAGCCTCTTTCGACAAAAGTCGACAAGATAACTCCCTTCAGGTCTGGGACATTGCAAAGCATTCCCAGGTTTTTGCCAATTCTGTTGATGATGATCAAGTCATCAGACCTCACTACTCCTACTTGGCCAACGAGGCGACCTTATCTACTATCTTTGTCGGTAATGAAGGCCCTGGAATGAACCTTATGGCAGGTGGTTATAAGCTTCTTCGAGAATTTGATTTGAGAGACTCTAGCACGTCCCCGGTATATCAGGTCGCCACGAAGCTGACAATGGACATCACCTTAGATCCATTTCAACCGCACATGTTCTCATCCTTGAGTGAGGATGGTTCTGTTTCTATCTGGGATAGGAGAAAGCTTGTTGGCAAATCAAGAGGATCTGTGTCGTCCGAGACCCCGGTGCTTCAGTTCACAAAGCTCTTAAGTGATCTGCTGCGAAGAAACAGCTCTCCATGCTTCCGATACTCCACTATAAGACGAGGGGAGTTTGCCTCTGTATTTAACGGAAACTTGATTCGAAGATGGAATACCGGTGTCGTTCCGCCGATGAAAGATTCCCCAAACGTGACAACATTTACTTCGAACGATACACTTTCTTCCTTGAAGTCTCAATCTGTTCAATTATATGATCCAAATGACGAGTCGCTATTCGTGGCACTTGTGCTTGATTCAAAAACAGACTCGCCTAGAGTTATCTCTTTCGACTATTCACCTGATATCGAGTCATCTACATCGACTTATTTCGTCTGCATGAGAGAGAAGGGCTCAGTCTTCAGGATGCCAGTAGTGGAGAGTATTGAATCACTTGACTTCAACTCGTATAATGAGTTCTCAATGGCCGGTCCAGAGGGAACTGCAACGAAGTTCTGGGAAGATCGAGAACAGGTCATGCCAGCAGGTGTTGCCGCGACCGAAGTCCAAAGAAAGGACTCGAAGTTTGATCTGAAGAACGATTCGTTGGCAGAAGTGACATCAACAATTGGCGATGAAGAAAGCACAGAACCTGCAACCACAACTACCACACCTGCTCCAAGCTCCCTGCCATTAGACATTGTGAAGTTTGAGGAAGATGAGATCATACCCTTGAAAAAAATGCTTGATCTTTCTAGCGTACTTGCAAACGATGTCTGTGGCTTGATCAGACAGCGAGCACTCTTAGGCTACGGCGTGGACACAGAGCAAAACCCTAAAATTTTGGAGCAGGTTAGAGGAGTGCAAACACCTCTTCTGATAATGAACACATGGAAATGGTTAAACTTGGCCAAGAAGTCTCTTGACAAAGGCACAATGGTCAGTGAGGGTGTTGACTTGGGCTACATCGGTGTTTTGGGAGTTTGGAAAGGAATCGATGAAATAGAGGGACAGAAGCGAGCCACTTTAAAGCAAAGTGTGACTGACCAGCAATTTAATAACGCGGTGAAGTCAATTGTCTCGAAGAAGGGCGAGAAGTCTTCAGGAATCAGTATATTCAGCACGAGTGATCGTAAAATTCAACGAAAGCTTTGTTTGATTGTCAGTGGGTGGTACCTTACTGAAAATGAGTTCGATGAGAAGCTTGACCTACTTATAAAATCTGGGGAAGTCGAAAAAGCAGCTGGCTGGGCAGTATTCCATGGAAATGTGCCAAGAGCAGTCGAAATTTTGGCTCTGTCCAAGAAGGAACGTCTCCAGTTAATGTCAACAGCGGTTGCAGGCTACTTGGCTTACAAAGACTCAAACACTAATCTGCCTTGGAATGACCAGTGCAGAAAGCTAGCGCTGGAGCTTGATCACCCATACCTTAGAGCCATCTTTGCATTCATTGCGGACAACGATTGGTGGGATGTTTTGGACGAGCATGCTTTGCCTTTACGAGAGAGAATTGGCATTGCTTTGAGATTCTTGTCTGACAAAGATTTGAATCTCTATTTGAACAGGGTTGCCGATACAGTGACACTCAGAGGTGAACTTGAAGGTTTGATTCTCACGGGTCTCACGCCAAGAGGTATTGACCTTTTGCAATCTTTTGTTGACCGTACCTCTGATGTCCAAACTGCCTCGTTGATTGCACAATTTGCTGTTCCTCGGTACTTCAGAGACCAGCGAGTGGATCACTGGATTGATAGTTACAGAAACCTACTCAACTCCTGGGGTCAATTCAAGATCCGTGCCCTCTTTGACGTTGCAAGAACCAAGCTGTCAAAAACATACAATGGGTCTCCGACTATCCGGCCTCCTCCTCGGCAAGTATACCTACAATGTCCTCGGTGCAGCAAAAACATGGGTGCACCGGGCTCCAAAACCATGAAGGGTAACAACCCCTCAATGATGAAACAATTCAATCGCCTCTCTTTGAAACAACCCTCAGGCGACACCAAGCTGTGCCCCCACTGTGGAGCACCTCTTCCACGCTGCGCTATTTGCTTGTTAAGCTTGGCTACGCGTATTCCCAGAAGATCAGACCATACGGGCGATGATCCAACGAAGCAGCAAATCAATGAGAGTTTTGATAATAAGTTAAGTTTTTGCCTCACATGTCACCATGGATATCACGCTCACCATGCTGAGGAATGGTTTTCCAAGCACTACGTCTGCCCCGTTCCCGATTGCAATTGCCTATGTAACAGTAAATAAAATCCGCATAGCCTTGAATATAATTATCGGCAACACTGAAAGCATCTACTTGAATTTCACATCCTTCTATTTTTAAGCTTTCCCGTCTCCCTTATTGTTTTCATTTAGAGTAGCTCTACCGTTAGACCCCATTCGCACGGCAAAAACAATACTCCGTATACTTGATTTACACCGTCAACTCCACAAAACCTAAAACCATATTATATCTCGATCGATTCTAAAATTTCATATCGACAATTTTTTTTAGCCGTCAAATGGGCTGATAAGTAGCCCGGTGCATTCAGGGCGGAGTTTGGCAAGCAGTTTGTTCCTAGGCCTGTTTGCAGGAAAAAGCCCAGTGCATTTTTGTCTTTTTTGGAAACTAGTCAACACGTTGAGACAGATCCAAAGATACATCTTCTGATCTCTTGATCCCAAGCGCCACGCCACACCAGACGCCAGAGTGGGACTAGATACACGGAATTTATTTGGTCCTCAACAAGGCGACAGTTTAAATATATTTTCTATTTTGGATCAACCATGAGTGAGCCGAAGGAGAAGATCATTTCTGACATCAAGGGGAAGATCGAACGTGAGCAAAAGCTCATCCAGGGCTTCCAGGCCGTGAAAAGGAACACGGGCAATTCTGAAGTTATCCAAAGATGTAACAATCAAATCAGAGAAACACAGTCAAACATCGATTACCTTCAGGAAACCATGGAAAAGCTTCTGATGCAACAGCAGGAAACACAACAAACCTCGGAAACACCCGAGGAACAGAACAGGCAACGTGTTTCCAGCTTCCAGCGCCCGCTTTACTCCAGGTTCGATTTGATCAAATACGACTGCCCATCCTTGGGGCACAAGATCCAACACATGCTTCAGCAACTCCAGTTTAAGTTGCAAGTCGAGAATCAATACCGTGAGGCTAATGAAAAGATCTCTCACTTGTACTTGATGGATGGCGACAAGCTGTCTTCCAGTGCGGCTGAAGGCGGGAAGTTAGAGTCAGATCAACGAATCCAGTTGTTAAACAAGGCATTGAAAAAGTACCAGGGAATGCATGTCAGCGTGGAGCTGGTCAACAGGGATATGGAAATAATGAACTTGCCAAAATATGCAAGAAAGCCATTCTCGGGCCGTTTGACGATGAGCATTACTTGTATCAGGGACATCGACCACATCGCGTCACCCAAACTCAAAAAGAAGCCCGAGTCGTTTGTTTGCATCAAGATTGATGATGTCGAGAAAGCACGCTCTAATGCTTCCCGTTCTGGCAAATTTAACGAAGATTTGATCGTCGATGTTGACAAGGCCAATGAGATGGAAATCGCAGTGTATGACAGGAATGGCTCACACAACGTCCCTGTCGCCCTCGCATGGATTCTCCTTTCAGATATCTCAGAGGAAATCCGTAAAAAGAAGGTTGCTGCTGAATCAGGCAACGACGGGTGGATTCCCGCATCTAGCCTTCCAACAAATAATAATGGCCCCTTCAGACCAAATGTTGGTGGATCTGATCTGTTTGGTTCATCGAACTATCTCGGAAATAATGGCCTGAACTCTAACTTTGACGGCGACACTGTCGTCGAGAGTGCAAGACCGTCACTGGAGAATTCTAGGAATGTGCTGATTTCCGCTTGGGTTAATCTTGAGCCTGTGGGACAGATTCTTGTAAGTTTGTCGTTTGAAAAGTCTAAGGGTGGCTCCAAGCCTAACTTCATGGGTGCATTGGGTCGTCACGGTGCCATTCGTCAAAAGAAGGAAGAAGTGTTTGAGCAATATGGCCATCAGTTTGTTCAAAAGCAATTCTACAACATTATGTGTTGCGCTCTTTGTGGAGAGTTCTTACGTTATACTGGCTACCAGTGTCAAGACTGCCGCTTCTTATGTCACAAGAAATGTTACCAGAAGGTGGTCACAAAGTGTATTTCTAAGAGTGGTGACATGAATGACGACGAGGAGAAATTGAATCACCGTATCCCCCATCGCTTTGAACCAGTGTCAAATCGTGGTACCAAATGGTGTTGTCACTGTGGCCATATCTTGCCTTGGGGTAAGAAGAACGTCCGTAAATGTTCTGAGTGTGGAGTCATGTCCCACGCTCACTGTACCCATTTGGTTCCAGACTTCTGTGGTATGTCTATGGAAATGGCCAACCAGATATTGACAACCATCAAATCAACAAAGCCAACCTCGAGAAGTCCTGCCAAGGTTGCTCAAGCAGTTCAGAAACAGATTAAAGAAGCACCACCACAACTTCCGCCAAAAGCATTCTCGGCATCTCCCCAGAAATCTGCCGTCGATGACCTGCCAGTGGCATCCCCCTTGCATCTTCATCACAAGAAGCAACAAGCCCCACTTCCCCCTCCACCACAACAGCCACAGTTTCAACCCACATATCCAAGGTCCTCGCAAGCAGGCTATCAAAGAATCCAGGAGATTACGCCCGAGGACATTGACCCACCCTACTCATCGAGATTGCCTACTAATAACACACTGCAATTTCAACCCTCTGTTGAACCTCCGCAGCACAGACACGCACCACCTAGGCGCCCTCCTCCAGTGGAGTCGTCGTATTCTTCTTCCCTGGATGCTCTGTCTCAGTACACGCCTCAGGGAAGCTACTACAATGAACGTGCTCAAGATACAAATGGTGCCTCGGTACAGAATCCATTTGAGCAAGTGGAGGAACACCCAACACAGAATCAGACGGCAGCTCTCTTTGACTCATTTGATTATAACAACGTGAACTCGAATTTGCAAGGTGATGAAGCCCAGGTGCCAATTAATGAGCCTGAACCAATGCAAGTTGAACCAGTTCAAGCCACTCACAGCAATGAGCCCGTGCAGAAACCTCACAAGTCCAAGCGCAGAAGAAGAAAGGTTGGTCTTGATGACTTCCAATTCCTTGCTGTTTTAGGAAAAGGTAATTTCGGTAAGGTCATGTTGGCTGAATCAAGACACACTCTGAAGTTGTGCGCTATCAAGGTGTTGAAGAAGGACTTCATTGTGGAAAATGAGGAAGCTGAGAGCGTTAAGTCAGAGAAACAGGTTTTCTTGACTGCCAACAGGGAGAGACATCCCTTCTTGCTTAACTTACACTGCTGCTTCCAAACCGAGAACAGAATTTACTTTGTTATGGAGTACGTTTCTGGTGGTGATTTGATGTGGCATATTCAGAAGTCGAGATTCTCCGCTAAAAGAGCTAAATTCTATGCCTGTGAGGTCTTATTGGCTTTGAAATACTTCCATGATAACGGTATCATTTACCGTGACTTGAAGTTGGATAACATTTTGTTGACAACTCAAGGACATATCAAGATCGGTGACTACGGTTTGTGTAAAGAGAACATGTGGCACAAGAACACTACGGGAACTTTCTGTGGCACTCCGGAATTTATGGCTCCGGAAATCATTGCCGGCAAACAGTATGACCGTTCCGTTGACTGGTGGGCATTCGGTGTGTTGATGTTCCAAATGTTGTTGTGTCAGAGTCCTTTCAAGGGTGATGACGAGGATGACATTTTCAATGCTATTGAGCATGATGATGTGAGATACCCTATCAGCATGCCTCGTCAAACTGTTCTTGTTTTGCAAGCTTTGTTGACCAAGGAATCCACGCAGAGACTCGGTAGTAGCGAAAGGGATGCCTTGGAAATTATGGAACACCCTTACTTCCAAGATGTGAACTTCGACGATGTGCTCAACATGAGGATTCAGCCACCTTACTTGCCTGAGATCTCAAGCGAACACGACTACTCCAACTTCGACCAGGAGTTTACCTCCGAGACTCCAAGATTGACTCCAGTCGAGACTGTCTTGACGTCTGAGATGCAAGAACAATTCCGTGGCTTCTCTCACATTGCAGATGATGCTCCAGTGTAAAAGTATAGTACGATTTTTTATGATAAGATGCTATTGGTGATGTATATATAAGAATGCTAAGGGGTTAATGATAATCTCATGAAAGTCGTAACCATGCAAGGGAGCTTGGAAGCTCACACGATAATGCAACAGCCGGATTTCTCCTTCTTAGGCTTCTCATCTTTCTGGTAAGCCCTTGGTTTAGAAGGATATGATCCGGTGGAAATGGAGGAAGTAGACTGTAGGTTTTCCTTTCTTGCCAATCTATTCTGAGCTAGTGGACTCTCAACTGGGGTAGCCTCCGATCCAGATTCGGGTATTTGGGGAAACTCACTTGAGAAAGATTCTATTCCTGGACCTGTTGAAGTCAGGAGATGTCTATCGAAGTTTTGCGAGTTGGAAGCCGGGATTTTTGAAGGACGACGGAAATGAAAGCTCTTTTCGTTCTTGAAATCGTGCAATGAGCTGTCGGGAGAAGCCGTGACTGCCTCTGTTAGAGAGAAGGCTTCAGACCGACCAGCCATCAAAGTTTTATTTTCTCTGGCATCAAGTGCAGCTTCAACCAAAGGCACGAAACAATCGTTGACGTTGATATCCGCAAGAGACGAAACCAGGAAAAAGCCGCTGGCGCCAAAACGGTTTGCCATAGCTTCACCATCGTCGTACCAGACTTGGCAAGTTTCATACATGTCCAGCTTTGCAGCTACAACGACAAAAGGGGGAAGCTCTCCATCGCAGAAAGTCTTGACTGTGCCTATCAAGTACTCCAAAGCTTCAAACGACTGTCTGTCGTCCATGGCATAAACGAACAAAATCGTGGATGTGTTCTTCACCTGTTGCTTTCTCGAAGCGCCATAGACATCTGCTAGCGGAGAGGAGTCTAGGATAGATATTTCCGTAATCAGTGAGTTGTGAGAAGACGACGATACTATAGTTTCCGCCAGTTCGTTCTCAACAGCCTTAACGTAGAGCTGTTCTGCCTGATCGTGAGGAGCTTCCGAAAAGGTTCCATTCACATAACGCTGAACCAAGGACGTCTTGCCTACTCCGGTCTCACCCATGACAAGAATGTCATATTGGGTATTGAGGGAGCTGAGGCCATCGAGAATACGGTTCATCAACTCTGGGGTTTGTCAAGTGCAAGAAGTGGATCTAGAAAAATTGATGAGCTCTCACGCCAAATGTACAATCATGCAAGTGCGACAGGAAGGCTAGGTATACAATCGGAGGCGATGCACTGTTCAGATCAGCTAAGAAGACGAAGCCGAAAAGTGGGGAATGTGTTTTTAAAGAGGCCCTCGCAGCTTTTTAAAAGCACTTTTAGCCAGTAGCAAGATTATGGAGACGGTGACGCCAGGTGAGTTAAATCAAGTGCAGAAAAAGAAAGAAAAAACGGTTGCGCAACCGTACGAAAAAACGTTAACTTGCTGCGACTATGGCGTTAACGAGATGCTGCATGATCGTGTGATACATCGAGAAAGCCCTGAATTCCGGTGGGCCCCTCACTACATGAGTAAAGCCAAGCCCTGAAGACCCTTGCAAGAAGTCTAAATTTTACCACAATGACATAAAGTGAGCAATTGGGTGTGTTCTGCGGAATGCTGGCACGGTGATGAGATGCATTTTCTCCTGTTTCTGCTAGCCCTAACGATTCGCGACCGTTCTTCGGTGATCGTCTAAAGTTGCCCCACTGCTCACAACCCTTTGGGGTGGAACGTTGATTTACAAAGTTTATTCTTAAAACGCCGCGTGGATCAGGCGCTACCGAGAATAAGCTTTTTAATACTTCGATTGGTAATCATCTGGGTTTTTCGGCGGTAATCACCTGCGCAAATATGGGGTAGTTGCTTGGGTCTGGCCCTAACGGTTATTCCTGTCTATGCCTTGTCTCACATTAGCCGTATGCGAGTCCAACAGGCTTACCGAAGCGATGCAAGAAATCAACCGATTCAAGGGTCCGGTCGGCGGTAGATCGGTTTTCACCCCACAAAAAAAAAAAAATTCACAATCAACTCTTTTAACGTATTCCCCTAAACAATGGTCGTGTAGCGGCTGTACCTTCGACACGAGGGCCTCGCAGTAGCAACTTTTTCGGGTTCAAGCACCTCAGCTTATCTCACCGGTCTTCTGTGGGCGGTTCTCCACCGTAGGCCTCACCCGCCACGCTTGCACCATTCTACAGGTTTGGGCTGGAACCGCTCAAAATGACATGCGTAGTCGAATCAGAACGTGGCGCCTATCTCGATTTTTCTTCTTTATACTATACATTGCTTCACTCTTCGTCCGACTCCAAATACTTGGCGTAGTCGCTTGCGTCTGCGAACATTGGCAAGCTCAGTAGCTTAGCTTTCTTCAGCTTCTTGCCGCCTTCTTCGTTACTTCTCTTTTTGGAGTTCTCCGCACTGACCGCCTCGTCACTGACAGCCTCGTCACTGTCATACTCATCCTCGTCATTCACGCCAAACATATCCTCGGCATCCTCGGCATCTTCCGCATCCAGACCTTCGTCCAACTCCTCTTCTTCGTCGGAGCCTTGGTTGGTCTCGAACTCCTCGTCAAACTGGGGAATTTCGCTCTCTGAAAAGTCGTCGTCGTCGCCAAATGCCTCGGCAAGCGTAGAAGGTGCACCTTCAGCGTCGTCATCGTCGCCATCACTCATGTCGGCAAAATCTTCCTCGTCAAAATCAGACATATCGTCTTCATCGGACAACCCGCCTTCGACGTCCGGTTGGGACTTGACCAATGCTTCCCACACTTCGTCATCGTGCATCTTCTCGTGCTCTTCGTCATCCTCGTCTTCGGCACCTTTGGCTTCATTGTTTCTGATTTTGCTTGTGTTTCCAGTGAAGTACTGGTGGAAGAATCTCTCGTCGGGTCTGACATCCTCTGCTTTCTTGGCCAACCAGTTGATTGTGTTCACTGGCACATCGTCAGATTGAGTGTTTGTAGCTTTGACCAAAAGCGACCCTGTGTGGGCACCACCCAAAGGCTGCATAATCGAAGAACCCTTGGTGGTGGATTTGGCTTTGGCGTTCTTGTAAACGAATCTGTCCAAGAAGTGAGCCAAGGTGTAAAGACCCAAGTCGGGTTTGGGCTGTGGCTTGCCGTTAAGGAAGGAATCGGCATAGATGGCAACTGTGGGGTGGTAATGCAGAATGAAATGGTTCATCTCCCAGAGACAAGAGTTCTGAGCGTTGGCGAATGACGGGTTTCTCTTCTTAGGATCGTACTCCTTATCTTCACTCTTCACTTCGGCCTTTGTCTCTTCAGAATCATTGATCTCGTTAGTGGGAAAGTCTGGTCTGTCCTTGACGGCCTCCATGAGCTCAACAATCTGGGGATATGTCTTACTCAATTCCATGAGCAAGAACATCATACCTGTGATGATAGCAACGTTAAGCCAATGAGAAGAGACTTGCAAGATTCTCTTCACAAAGGCGAGGATACGAGGCATATTGTGAATATCGTGCTTCAATGACTTGAAAAGCAAGTTCAAGTAAATTCCTTGCTTTGACGAGTTGACCAACCTAGGGTCCATGAGCGACTCATAAAGAGTTCTGTAGTATCGGTCAGAGTCCAATCCTTGCTCGGTGATAATGTGGTACACCAAAACCAAAGCCTGAACAGAAGTGTTGAAATTGGTGGAGTGGGTGATTTTGTAAAGAGTCTCCATATGCTTGGTGTAGATATCAGAAGGAAGCTGGGAGAATGGCAAAGCACGGTTCAAACCGGTAAGAAGAGCCGAGAACATTTTTGATGATCTCTCCTCAATTACCTCTTCTTCAGTCTTTTCCTCCACCTTGACGGACTTTCCACCTTTCTTACCCTTCTTGAACTGTTTCCTGTTATTCTTTCTACCCTTCTCACTTTTACCCAAAGTTCTGTCTTCTTTGGCATCCTTGAGGGCAGGGTCTGATTCCACTAAAAGCTTTTCAAACAAAGAAAAGTATGTTTTCACGAGGGAGTCTGCAAGATCAATCTCCTTTTTGGAAAGAATCGTCTGATTGAGAGTGAGAATGGTGTAGTATTGGGAGTGGTATTCGCTCTGTTTCTGCAATACCATATCCGTGACAGCATCAACGATGATCTTTTTCATTGCGGGATGAGCCTGCTCCAACTGAAGAATCTGGTAAGATGTTTTGGCGGCGACTTTATTGTCAATGTCACCAAGCTTGTTGACACCAAGCCTGAGTAAATTCACTTCTTGCTCAGGCTTAGCCTTCAACAAGTCAAAGATATGAGTGAGGACAGTCATACGAACATGCAAAATAGGGTCATGACTCAAGTACTCGAGCACCTGAATGAACTTGAAGTAACACTTCTTGAGGAAATCTTCGTAGTATGCTAAAGCCAGTTTTTGTTCACTGGCTGTTTGAGTAAGCGAGGCCTTGTTAAATGCAACAAGTTTTCTATCAGGAAGAAGACTGTTGATGAACAAATCCTTCATGGCATTCACTGCCTGCAAAGCGGCGTTTCTGGACTTCTTCTCGCAATAATTTAGAAGGGTCTCAAATGGCTTGATGTTATGCAAAGGGGCCTCTTGGACCAACAAAGTCAAGGCGGAAATTTTATCGTTCAATGTACCGTCAGAGAGAATCTGCGACAAGAACTTCTTCTGAGAGTTATCAGAAGAGAATTCCTCCAAGTAAGTTTTGTTTTCGGAATCAATTATTGCCTTGGCCTTGTCGTTGAGTCTCTCGAGTGCAAATCTATCGAGCTTTTCTGGCTCTGTTTCTTCGACATCGATATTGTACCAGTCAACTCTATTCTCGATTTTGAGTTTAGCACTCTTGACAGATCTGACATCGTCAACCTTGTAGCTTTTAGGCTTGACGAGTTCACCGACTTCTGCTTCCTGTGTTTCTGCTGGCTTCTTTTCCTCCACAGGTTTTTGTTTTGGCTTCTCCTCAACTACTTTCTCTTCTTCTTCCTCGCTCTCCTCGTCTTCTTCCTCCTCAAGCTCACCATCGACCAAGTCGGGTATGTCTTCAGGTTCAGACAAGTCCTCATCTTCCACGACATCGACTTCACCGGGGAACCCAAGACCCTTCATAAAGGTGGCTAGATCAGCATTAAGCGCTTTATCATTACCAGCGTCTGCGAACTCCTCATCGCTTTGATCTTCATTAAGGCCTGCAATGAGAGCTAGGTCATCCTTGGAGGCACCAAGTGCCAATGCCTCACGCTTCAAAATGTCTTCTTCGGTGTCAGCGCTATCTTTGTCGGACTTCTCGGTGCTCTTATCGTTCCCATGCTTGGACTTCTTGTCCTTCTTATCCTTTTTAGCTGATTTTGGGGCATCATCTTTCGGGAGTTTGGACTTCTTTTCCTTTTTTGTACTTCCCAGACTGAGTTTCGACGAGATTTTGTCCTTCAAAGAGGACAAATTGAGCTTTGCTGCTTCCATCGCCCTTAAATCAAATATTCAGGTAGACCATTCTGAAAAAGTATGTCCGCGATGAGTAGCATCTGGGTCACGTGCACGATGAGCTGGGACGCTGGGAATGTTTCAGTCTAAAGGGGATAAACTTCATTATATAGAGGCAAAAATATCAATTTCTTAGTCCTCTGAATGTTTGAGACGGTTTGGCTTGTTGATTAGGCAACGATTGGCTAGGTTTTGTTGACTGACGTTGTAAGTCACAGAACGAACTGATGGATCCCCACATATTAAACTCAATCCTATGACAGGATATGATTCATGTTACACGAGAGAACCCCCTTTTACAACCTCTTAGCATATGCTCTTGACTTGAGTGTGCTTTTCTCCTCGGATGCTGCGAAAGCCACAATTCGAATAATGGCACAACACCAAAAAATATCTCAGCAAGATCATAGATGCAAAAAGTTGAATGAGAAAAAATCAGGGAACTCGGATTACAGAACTTGGCGTTGCATGACAGAGGCCTCGGTTACGAGTCACCTGTATCTGCCCCGGAAAATTACATGCATTGCAGGGTCTCACCTTGAGAAGACACATACGATCGTGATTCAAAAAACGGGATAGAGATGAACGAGCAAATTAAAAAGCCATATTCAGTGTTGGGGTAAATAAACCTTTCTGATATAAAAAAAGTGGTATATATATCGTATCCTTGCCCATGTTGTCGTACAAGGATTTCGGAGAATCTCCTCACTATCGCGCTGCAGGTGCATGTCGAGAACTGGTGTTGCAACCGCAAGAAAACACTTGCTTTATAAGTATGATTATTTTGTTCATGGCTCAGTTTTTCATCCTTAATCATGACTGGAGAGCCCAAAGTTTGGCCGCCTTTTTTGTCACAAAGAATCATCCGCTCCTCTTCGCAAGACGATAACCAAGCTTGTCCATACTTGCTTTCTCGGAAAATCTTGGGCACAGGTTCGAACTCAGCTGTCTTCGAATGCAAGAACACAAGCAATGGAGCTCATTATGCTGCAAAGCAGTATGCAAAAAGACTCGTTTACGGAATGGAGTCGCTGCTTCAATCTGAATTCAAAATTCTTAAGCGTGTGTCTTTTGGGCACAAGAACATACTTTCACTCATTGACTACTTTGAAACGGAAGACCATTTCTATTTGGTGACGGACTTGGCCCTTGGAGGTGACTTGTTTGAAAGAATCACAGGCACCTGCGAAGGCAGGCTACAGTCTAATGAAGCACGAGAAATATTGCTTCTGGTGCTTTCGGCATTGGCATATTTGCATTCCAACCAGATCGTCCACAGAGACGTCAAGGCAGAAAATATATTATTTAAATCACGCACGGCAAAACCGCTGCATTTACTTCTAGCCGACTTTGGACTTGCCCAAATCGTCAAGGATAGCGAGAACGGCTTTCTAGAGCATGGCGGAACATTGAGCTACATGGCGCCCGAATGCCTTTTTGATGCATCTTACGGCTATCCTGTGGATATGTGGGCTGTGGGTGTTCTTACATACTTCATGCTCTGCGGATATATGCCGTTTGACTGTGACACTGACAAGGAAACTGAACAGCTAATCTCCACCGCTGACTTTATTTTTGAGCCAATAGAATATTGGGAGGGCATTCCTGACTCTGCAAAAGACTTCATTTCACAATGTTTTATCTTGGATGCAGACAGAAGGATCACTGCTGTTGATGCCTTATCTCACCCATTCATCTTGAACACCCCTCTTAAACGAACCGCTTCCAACTTTTCAATGTCGCAACTCCAAGCAGCCGTATGGAGATTACACAGTATCCAGTCGCTCTCCTCGTCAACGAGGTTAGCTCAACTTCTGAATGGTGTAAGCGGCCACTCTTCACTTCTGTCGAGGCTTTCGTTGAACGAATCCTCAACCTCTTCAATTGCATCAAGTAGCAGCCATCGCCTCTTAGGTGACAGATGTTACTCCCCAGAGCTTGTATCTCGCTTCTGCACCCCTCTCATATCAGCACAAGTTTCTCCGACTCATTCACAGTCCAACTTAAAAATATGCTCGAGGCCAACCCTTCCTAAGTCAAGTGGTGGCTCTTCCGAACTGAGACTGGCGGAGTTTTTCATATAGGCGTAATATAATAATACTTCATCAAACGGCGATCTGCACTTATCAACGGGCATTTAAGATTTTCCATGATAATTATGTAATAAAAGAAATAAAAAGAGAAATGAGACAATCGGCACTTTCAACGCCAATTCCAAGCACAGATACGGCTTTTGGAGATTTGCCTTGACAATAATCATAATGCCGTGAGACCACTACGAACTTTCACTTGCATCGAAAATCCGTGACGACAAGGTAGGTGATGTGAGTGTACTTTCCTCATGATATTGTGAAGAAGTATCATATAAAAGGGCAAATTTCCAACTACAGATTCGTATCATATATCTTTCAAACATGACACTCGCTAACAAAACAACCTTTGAGCGCATCCACTACATTTATAGCAGAAATGAGAAGCGTTTCTTGACATTGCGGAAGCAGAAATTTGCTGATGCAAGTCCGGAGACAATTTGGAATTCAATGTCCTCCAACAAGTTTAACTCGAGCCCTGGATTGAACATTGCAGATCTTGGGGAGTACCTCGCCTTTGAAACCTGTTCTGGTGATTCTATCGTCGGTGTTGTCACGGAACACTTCAATCCCTCTCACTTTGACTTGTGGTTCATTCTGACTGTGTTGAAGAACAGCTCAATCGAGAACAAGGGCAAGGCTTCTGAAACAAAGGGTTTAGAAGCCGCTCGAGCTGTGACGGAGCTCTTTGAACATAAGCTTAGAAACGTTGCTCGGGTCGATAGATGGAGCGAAGGAAAACTGGACTTCGAAAAGAACATTTTATTTTTCACCTCAAGGAATGCACCTATATTGACCGTGCTTCCAGCTTTTCCGTGCAAGTCCTCCAATTACGACAAGGTAGCATCCTGCTTTCCTGATATGGGGGAGGAGCTTGCCATTAAACGGATAATTGATTTTGTTACTGCAGTCCAGGACGTTTATCCACCAGGTATGAAATTCTACCTCGTCAGCGATGGCCATGTCTTCAGCGATTGTATCCATGTGGATGATGACATGGTTGACGTTTACTTCGCCAAACTCGAGGCAATGTACCAACGTGTCAAACCTGCCGATTTTGACGGCATTATATTCAGAGGCCTCAATGACTGTTTTGAGTCTGATGAAAGGGGACTTGTTGCAGAGCTTTTGCACTCAGTCGAAGTAGAGCATCCAATTCCAACTAGATTGGATGAGGAGACGGAGATAAACCGGAAGGTGTTAATGCTTGGTTGTGATGACAACGCTGATGTGTTGAGAAAACAAATTCAGACGCCTAATCACCCCAGGCTTTACCTCTACCGGGGTTTCAACAAGTTCATGTGTGAGGACCTTTGTCAAACCGAATTTGCTAAAAGCATTTCCAGAAAGAAATACAAGAAGATGATTTCTCAGGTTGCTTTCGAGATGATTCGGAGAAATGATGCATACTCCAATTTGGTGGAACTCATTTTCCCCTTCCACATTCGATTCTCCATTCATGCTCACCACAATGCTGGTCCAAAATATGGTGTACGCTTGCTTGATCCCGAGGTATGTTCCATGTCGGGACACAACCAAAATGAAGAGGACAGATTGCTCCACATCCCCACGCCATGGCACAACAGTGTGTTCAAAATGGTTGATTCTGATAAATATATTGTCTCGCATGCAAGATTGGCAAAAGAACTCGAGCTGAACCCCGAGGTAGAAGGAGGTTGGGATGAAGAGCAGCTACTTTTCCTTTATCGCCTGGTTTAAATATGTTGATGTTATTTGATTTCACGAGAGCTTGGTCAAGCTTTTTGCAACCAATGTAGTGCACCCAAACACCAATCAAATTAGTGCAGATTACGCTGCGAGTACATCAGACATGCATTTTGCTGCGACAATCTTTGCGATTGCTCAAGTCTTTATCGCTATCAGCCTTTTATCAAATAAGAATCAGCAGTCAATGTCTTGGGATCAAGCTTCTTTTGCACTTTCACCCCGCTCAAAAGGATGCTACCTCGTCACCGATGAAGTGGTGAGAAACGTTCCGGAGATCAAGAACTATAAGGTGGGTCTCTTGAACCTCTTTCTTCAGCACACCTCCGCTGGTTTGACCCTCAACGAGAACTGCGATCCAGATGTGAGAGAGGATATGACAACCTCACTTGATAGGATCGCACCTGAGGGTGACTTCTACATTCACGCTGATGAAGGTCCAGACGACATGCCTGGGCATGTCAAGAGCAGTACTGTCGGTGTCTCTCTCACAATCCCAATTCTGAACGGTAGATTGGCTACCGGAACGTGGCAGGGTATTTGGCTATGTGAGTTCAGAAGATACAAGCACAGCAGAAAGATCGTGGCCACGATTCAAGGCGAAAAGAAGTAACGCCGTCTATAGGAAATGCAAATAGGCCAATCACTTATGATCAGGAATCTTTTTCGTAGACCTGAATACTGTACTCTCTCACTGTATCTTGCTTTTCGTTTTCCAACACTGCGAGCGAATCTTGAAGCTCACTCAAACGCTTCCAGAGTTCGTCCGCGATGAGATTCCACCACCCGTTGTGCCTGAGACACTTCCTTCTATCGTTGAGACAGATTGTACTTGTTGCGTTCTCGTCATCTTGGTTGTTATACATTTGGACGACATCGTTGACAGCTTGAGTAGACGTCTCTTCTGCTTTATCCACAGCTGACGTGTACACTTCGAGAGGTTTTTGATCGTATAAAGAAGAGTCAAAACAGCAAAGGTCAAACCTTGCACCCTTAGACTTCTTTTTCTTTTTCTTCGCCTGAGTCTCCTCTTCCTCGTTGGCTGATGTCTCCTTGAGCTGCTCGTTGATGCGCTTGATTATATCCTTACGCAAGCCGAGATACTTTTGTTGTGCCGTGACATACTCAATGTCGTTCTCGATGTCTTTCATCTTCCGTTCGATTGTTCGAAGCTGGTTCTGTATTTCTTCAGGCAACTTCTCAACATTCTTATCAGCTATTTCAGGAAGTTCAGGGAAAGTTGAGCCCAACTTAGCAAGTTCTTCTCTCGATTTGCAGTGCGTCAAAGCGAACTTCATCCCCTCTTTGCTCAAGGATTCCAGCTCCTCGAGGAATCGCTTCATATACTTGAGTCCACACTCCTCCAGGCAGTACTTGGACCTCTGATCCGATCGTATAGGTTTCATGCAACCAGGAAGTCGACAGACCTTATTATAACGGGTGCGTCCCTTGCCTTGCCATTGGCAAAACTTGCAGTAGAATTTATCGATCAACAGTTGGTAGCTTTGGCTCATTTTCATACACGTAAAGTGGAACCATTCCTCGCAGCCATCGCAGCCGATCATAAGTTCACCACCGTGATCTGGCCGTCTGCAGATACAGAAGAGTTCCTCAGAATTTAGATTGAACTTGGGAGCATTCTGATACTTCTTGTATTGTTTGGCGATGTCCTCGGAGGTCTCCTGCTCATCATGATCGAAACGAGCTTTCTTGGTATCGACAAGCGCTGGAGACTTTGACTTTCTTTTTCGATCTATATCTAGATCATGAAGATCCAGAGCTTCGTGTTTGACTATGATATCGGCCATATGATGAAAGTTGATAACGGTGTGCAGAAAATATGGTTACGCGCTGGGTGCAAAATACACCATGATGATCGTTGGTAATACATTTTTGGTCTCAATAAAATTACATAATTCAGGACGACTGTTGCTCCTTATTTTCACCGCTTTCGGCATCCTTACTCTCTTCATCCTTGCTGCTCTCGTCAACATCCATCTTGTCTTGTTCCTCCTCGTCCTTCTTCTCCTCTTTGGCCTCGTTATCTTCCTCCTCCTCTGCTTCTTCCAGCTCGGCCTCCTCCTCTTCTATTATTGTTTTAGGCTTGAAAATTTCAAGAAGTGTGTCGTCACCAACAGAGGCGAAAAGGTTGGGGATTGTAGGGTGCACCGCCAACTCGTTCACTCTGTTTGTATGGCCACCGTGAACAAACTTAAGGCAAGGATCCTCGGTGTTTTTGTTCTTTCTTCTTGAATCAGACTCTGTCGTAGGATACGTGAACTCTTCACTCATGTTGTTGAGGTCCCACGTGAGAACCCTTTTATCAAGACCCCAGGAGTACAACTGAGATGGGTTGAACTCTGGGTCCCATCTGAGGCCGACCACAGAGTCGTTGTGGCCAAAGAGTTGTCTGACTGGCTCCTTGGTGTTTCTCAAATCATACAAGTTCACCACATTATCCTTTCCACCAGTTGCTACAAGCAGGGGAATCTGAGGGTGAGCTGCAACAGCGTTTTGAATGTGGCTGTTCTCGATAGAAATCGCAGGAGAAGTGCCTGGGTTCCTGATATCGTGGATATGTGTGTAGAAGTCATCTGAAACAGAGGCAAACAAGTTCTCCGAGGGTTTGCTGTAGCTGATGTCGTTGATAACCGCGGAATGGGTGTTGAATTGTTTGATGGGTTCAGCAGGGGAAGAAATGTCCCAAAGAGCAATGTTGGCATCGTTAGCGCCCGACAAAAATTCTTTATTGGAGGTCCACTCCAACGCGTAACCCTCGCTGGTGTGGAATTTGTAGTCCAACTGGGTATCGCTATCCACCTTGTACAAGTGCACCACGCCGACATTATCGAAACTCACAATGTTAGTACCGTCAGGCGATACTTTGAGCTTGTTAACCTCACCTGGGTGGCTCCATGAGTGGAGGATCTTGAAGCTGCTTTCCTCTCCTTCTGGCAATTGGACAGACTCGTTGTTGAAATCTGGAGCCAACGTGGCTGGCAAGTCTAACGAGGCTAGACGTACAAAGTCCTGACCCTTGGTGAATGAATTTGTCCCCACGGCTAGTCTAACAGTTATACGGTTTTTGTCGCTGCTCCAAGTGTACTTTGGAAGGAACTCCACTGATAACAGTGCATGTTGTAAGGCTTGGGTGTAAATGGTATCATATAAAAGCGGAACGGTTTTTTTCCATATTTTGAACTCCTCGTTCACAACCTGCTCACGGAGCTGATGTTCGGCGAGAATCTGTCTTTCAGCTGCGATGACGGTTTCCATGACTGGATAAGGACTCTATTTATATGAAACTTTTATCGAAGCGACATACACAGGCAATCTACACCTGTACACCTCAAAACACTTGGGACGTCGAATTGGCTTTATGACTAGTTACACATTACAATTTATACGTTTCTCTATTCATTAAGTAAAAGAATTGGTGCTCAGGTATCAAGCGCCGTATCCATTAGTGCGCCATTGGGTGCCGACTTCGAGTATAGCACACTAGGTGCCTCATAAGTTCAGCCACAACTGGCCTGACTTGGCTTTAATTAATTTTGTAAGATAGCTTTCAAGGCAATGACATGGCCTCGGGCAGTTTGTGTAAGCTAACAATCAGGTCATGCTCTATATCACGCCCCCGCCAAGTTCATCGTTGTCGTCCTCGGGCTGATCGAAAGCCTGACTGAAGGTATAGACAGTACCAAAGATCAATCCTCCTCCAAGGAGCGTCAATACCAGTGCCGTTTTCGTCAAAATCGACGAGTGGTGCAAGAGAATGGGCAATGAAACGCCTGTGAGAACGAGGAAACCTGTGAGGAACTTCCCGGCTTCCTGAATCGCCAGGGTTTGTGACGAGGTTTGTGGATCAAAGTTGAAGTCGTAGTCGCTCTTGTCAAAAGCAGCTTTCGTAATGACAGCTGGAAGGTATGCCACAGCAAAGATGATTCCATTGATAATGGGAAACCAGTTCCCATATACGCCGGCAAGGATGACAAGAAGGAACCCCATTGAGAGGACGACGGACAAACCGACAATCTTGTTCAATGGGTTATTTCGAAATTCGGTGGTCAGGTTCATGATGAAGAATGAAATCCGGATGACTACAGATAACCTCCCGCGAGTGGATTTAGTCGCCCCAGAGTCACGTGTGGAACTTGCTATATATATATGTGAAACTTGACGGGATTTCGATAAATAGTATCTTTGGTAAAGTCTAGAGATGTGACCCAAGCTGCCAAATTTTGAATTGAATCGGCAGGACTGCTGCTGGTGATGAGAGTGATCAGATCGAGCACGCTTCTATGTGGGCTGTATTGTGGGTGAAATTGCATATTGCTGATAAAAGTTTGATGAGTCGAAATTCAATTCTGTAATTTCCATCAATGAGAAAAATTAGTGTCAATTTTAGTTTTCCAAAATTAGTAATGGTGTTTGTATGAGTTGTTGAAACCTTCTCAATGGTGAGACGGCTGCGAAAAGAATACACGAGCCTCAGCATCATTTGGACACTTTGTCTTCACATAGAAACAAATTCAGAAAATACTTTTCCAAGTCAAGACTATCATCCTTTGCTCATAGCAGACTTGATTGAATCATGTAATTTGCAATCTTCGAATCTAGGAATTGTAGGTGAAACCAACCTGGACCTGTCTGGAAGCGCACTCGTATCTAATAGTCGGTTTATCAAGCACTCACCTACTTCTTCCACCATGTCCTACGCAGAGATCCTCAATCCGGAAATAAAGGCCCGGAGCCTGAATAACACAGTGTCGCCTCCAGGATTTGGCCTGCAAAACACCAAATTGAAAACTTCCGAACCTATCAAGAAACCCACACCCGAAGAACTTGACAGACTCAAACTCAAGAAAGCATGGGACGTTGCATCTGGCCCTGCTAAATCGGTGCCCATGAACTGTATTATGAGCTATATGACCGGTAACTCGTTACAAATGATTCCCATCATGATGACAGTCATGCTTCTTATAAACCCAATCAAGGCCATCTTTTTAGAAACAAACAAGGCATTTGCTTCTTTGGAGACCAGAAACCCCAACGATTTGCTCATGCCCAAGGTGATGTTTGTCTTGTTTCAGCTAGCTAATGCTGGTATCGGCTTGTTCAAGCTCTGGACCATGGGTTTGATCCCCAATGGCGAGGCCGACTGGCTAGCTTGGAAACCAGTCACCCAGGTGGTGGAAAGATTGAGAATATAAATAGAATGCATGAATCTTTTACTATACAATTATATCATGTTGTTTTTGTTGCATCGTCCTCCTTCTTAACGTCCTCTTTGTCTTCGCTCTCCTCCTTGATCTCCTTCTTGTCAGAGTTACCCTCCGGGTTGACCCTTGAGGATTTGCTATCCTTCATGTTCTTTTCAAAAATTTGTTGCAAGTTAAACTTTTCCAACTGAAGGTAATCACTTACCACACTCATGCCAATGTTGCTCTTAAAACAATCCACCAAGATGAGCTTGTCGTACTTCTTCAAGTCTACGGTGTGGCCGTGGTCCTTTCCAACGCATCCAGCGACAGTTTGGATGATCTCCTCTTTAGGTATTTGATTGAAATTTCTTCTCGTCACCTGGATGGCAAACTTGAGGGGTTCTTGACCTTCTTCTTTATGGAAATGAGGTTTAAGCACAATGGCTGCAAGCTTCTTGATCTCCTCGAGAGATGCGGAAACCGAGAATGTTACTGGTGTGAGTTTCTGGATAAATCTTGATTTCTTCACACCCAGATCTTTAGCTTCCTGGCATATTCTATGGATGAATTCGGCTGGCTCAACTGGCTTTCTGATCTTGACAAAGACTGTACACTCACAGCTGAGGTCGATTGGCAGAAAGATGGTGCTTTTGGCGGTCTTTTCCTTCTTCATGGAGGCCAATTCCTTTTGCACCTGCTCTTCTACCGAAAGCTCCTTGTCATCTTCATCGTCAACTTCGGCTTTCAGCTCCCAATCAGGATACCATTGCTCACATTTTTCAGCAAGAAGGTTCAACAACTCTTTGCGGCATCCAAGCTCTCTTCCTCTATTGCATGTGGCATACACGCCGGCAGTATTTGGATCTATGAAACCACTTTGCTTATATTTTTTATTTCTGTTGCCGCCTTGGGATTCTCCGCCTCTCTTGCCCATCTCTGTTTAGCTAGTGATGCAAGATGCCTGAAAATGCAGCACTAGGTAGAATGTCCGTACAGGAGTCCACACTTAAGGCTGGATATCTGTCAATCTGGTTTATATGGACCTCAAAGAAGAATTTCAAAGCACGATCATTGTGAGAAATATTTGAATTCAAATCTTGTTGGCTGAAAATACACTAATGCCTATACTAATTTAGTGTTGAATTAGGTGTCTGCATATACATGAACTAATGGCTGTACATTTTAACAACCCATCCATGCTTGTTACTATTGAAGCATGTCTAATTTATTAGTCTTGAGCCTAACCTTGCTTAAAAAGCATTTCCCCCGATTGTAGAGAATGCTGTTGTGCTGATGATTTTCATAGAGCTCGAGCTACAGCAATTCGGTTCTAATGAAAAGCCAACTTCACCAAGGGAAGCTGCACAAAAAAAAACTCCCAAATCAAAAGCCTGACGATATCTATTTGCTTTGGTTTTTACTCTATCACTAAGTTTGACGTCTTCAAAGCACACTTGTTAAGTGTTATATGAAGGATGTTCCGAGGATGTCGACTGACGGAAGACTTCTGAAGCTCTGTCACATGGACGATGCCCGGAAGGGAACATCCGAGAGGGGAAGCCTGTGACTTTGGCTACCTAAGGAACATAAATAGGAGGGCTCTGCCCATCTTGAAGTAGTATCGAAGAGTATAGTTATATACAGGCCATTATCATGAAGAGAAGAAGTCAGTCTGAGGAATCATCAGCAGAGTCTGATGATGAATCAGGATCTGAACTTAAGGAGAAAAGGCCTACTCTTAGAGACGTTCGTAAACCTATCCCCAATGACCAACCTTTACCAGCTAAGACGAAGAAAGGGTTCTCAGTAAGTCACGTGAAGAAAAGGGTCAAACAACACTCTGGTTTGCATATAACTTGCATACATATCAACGCTTTGGTTCCAGTTCCTCATATTCTAAGGTTTAGGCATTTACCACTAGGATGTCTGAATCTTCACCAGTACCTTCCTTGACAAATCTCCCGGATGAGGTATACCTTCAGATTCTACGACACCTCGACTTTGAAGACTGGGTTGCATTAACTCAAGTCAATCGCAAACTACGACAGGTGCTAGACGCTCCCATGTTTTCCCACTTCATATACCACCAATCATTTGGCAAATATATGGTATCATACTGTCACTTTCCTAATGCATGCTCCAAATTGATCCCTCACAAAGTATACGGGGTGATCAAAAACATGACATACCCTATAGACAGCTCAAATAATTCTTCTTTGATGAAGCTTCTTCAACACCCCGACGCGTATTTTGCTATCGTTGACAAGTTTGAGCAGCTGTATGTTGAGTTGCAACTGCAAATGAAAACTTTCATAACCTCGAAGAGTATCGCAATATCCGCATACGTCTTTCTTAAAAGAATCCTTGATTTGCATAACTATGTCATAGCAAATTGGTATTTTGAATTGAATAGTGACCGATTGAGTGAAGAGGGCTTTTTTCAGCTCTCTCGGTACTTCTCCAACTTCTTTCACCATGCAGCATATAGGCTGAAGGTGCTACAACAGATTCACAATGCTCTAGATCGATCTGGTCTACCTCAAAGGACCAAAAGGCTTAATTTTCCAGATATGAAAGGTTATGAACACTTCTTGAAAAATATATGCTCCATCGTGCTTCGTCATCTTCCAGCTGACTCAAATGATAAGCAGTGGTCCACAATAACAGCTTTTTACTCCGGGAGATCATGTGGTGATCAAACTGGACTTCAAAAGGTTTACACCTTGCATGTGCTCGTTAAATTTTTAAAAGAGCGTGTGTTCAGTCGCTACAAGCTCCATGTGGGGGAACAGCTGTTAAATTCAGAGCCTGTTGTCAAAAATGACCTCATACTTATTGGACGCTATGCAATCTTCGTCAATAACAGAAAAGTCAAGCTCTTGAACTCAAGTCTGTTGCATAATTTCGGAATTCTTAGAAACAGGGCAAGCTTAGAATCGATTTTTTCAAACCAGTTGTTTGATGGCCCGATCCGGATTCAAGGAGTTGGTCCCACAGTCAACTGGAACGCTGTTCCTTACAATACGATAACGGTGGATAAGATCAGGTCCCTTTGCGCTCTTCATCAAATGGACATTGAAGAGTTTAGTAAAATGAAAGGATGTGAGCCATTTCAAAAAGTCAGTTCGGGTGATGTACCAATGATTTTCAAAAGAGGACAAATCGTCACCAGTGATTTTCAGGATCTAATTGGCATTGTGATTGAAGACACTGTTTTTGATAGTCCTGTGATTGATGTACAAGGTATTGATTCTGGTGATATAAAGCAATTTAAGATCGGAGACTTCAGGCAAATTGGCCCTGGAGACGTAAGTGTCAATGACGAGACATTACAAAGTTTCTTGACATGGCTTATGCTGAGCGATCTGTTCACTCAATTCGTTGGAACAAGCTTCACTCATTTGGTTCTAGAGGACGGCTTTTTCCGGCTTATTTTCAGAGACTCTGAAAAAAGATCCCTTGCATGCTAACGCCGTTTTGGCAGAAAATTAGTGAGCATCTGCACCGCTTATGCGTTTTATACCCGCACATCCCAACATGGACTTCTCGGGCCAAACAATTATCAAAATCTTATATATAAGACATTGCATCTTTTATAAAGTCGTAAGCTTGATCGTGCATTAGAAACAGATATTAGCCCACAATTTCGAGAGCCCTGCAACATGTTCCAGAGTAGTACGAACAAAACTAGGTATCTTGTGACGGGTAAAACAGAATCCTCGGCCGCTTTTACGTGAATTTTATCTATGATTTACTTTTCCCATTTAAATCATTTCACCATTACGGCATCCAAGCAGGCCTGACCAAATGAGTGCACGTGACTCCGTTTGCTGTAAGGCGCAACTACTTATATAAGCGATATGATCCAGGAGAAGCGTACATGTTAAATATGTTCACTAAAAGAGCTAATTTAGCCAAAGTTCTACATCGGAGCTTGAGATCAAGAGGAAACAACTTCCTCAATCACGCGCGTTTGACTCACAATGTTATTGGCATAGATCTCGGAACTACCAATTCTGCAGTAGCATTGGTAGAGGGAGACCAAGCCAGAATCCTCGAGAACGAGGAAGGTGGCAGGACAACGCCTTCAATTGTTGCATTCAACGATAAAGATACCTTGGTAGGCTTACCAGCCAAAAGACAAGCTCTCGTGAACCCCAGAAATACGTTTTTCGCAACCAAACGACTCATTGGGCGTAAATTCGAAGACGAGGAAGTCCAGAAAGACATCAAAAACACCCTGTTTAAGATTGTTGAGCATCAGAATGGTGATGCTTGGTTGGAAACATCAGATGGTCGCCAATTCTCCCCATCTCAGATCAGTTCTGTGGTGCTCCAAAAGATGAAACACATTGCGGAGTCACACCTTCCTGAGGATGTGAAACACGCCGTTGTGACTGTTCCCGCATACTTCAATGACTCTCAAAGGCAGGCCACCAAGAGTGCTGGTCAATTGGCTGGTCTTGAAGTTTTGAGAGTTATCAACGAACCTACTGCAGCTGCCTTGGCATATGGTATCGATCAAAAGAAGCCGGATGGTATAGTTGCAGTTTTCGACTTTGGAGGAGGCACTTTTGATGTTTCGATTTTGGATATTGAGGACAAAGTTTTTGAGGTCAGGGCAACCAATGGTAATACCCACTTGGGCGGAGAGGATGTTGACTTGATGCTTCTCAACTTTATCTTAGACAAGTTTAAAGCTGAACATGGTGTCGACCTACTGAGCGACAGAATGGCAATTCAAAGAATAAGGGAGGCAGCTGAAAAATGCAAGATCGAATTGTCGCATGTCAAAGAGACCGAGATCAACATACCCTTTATTACTAAAGACAAACACATCAAATTGAAGCTCACGGAAGATGAATTGGACGAAATGAGTCTTCCCTATATTAACAAAACCATAGATCCTGTCAAAAGATGTCTTCGTGATGCAGAGTTGAGTGCCAGAGATATTGACGAGGTCATTTTGGTCGGTGGAATGACAAGAATGCCTAAGATCAGAAAAGTTGTTGAGGGTTTGTTCAAGAAAGCTCCAAATACATCGGTTAACCCAGATGAAGCTGTGGCGTTGGGTGCTGCAATCCAGGGTGCTGTCCTTTCTGGGCAAATCAAGAATGTGGTTCTTCTAGATGTTACCCCATTGACTTTGGGTATCGAGACGTACGGTGGTCTTTTCAGTCCCCTCATTCCTCGTAATTCTGCTGTGCCACTTAAGAAGGAGCAGGCTTTCTCGACTGCCGTGGATGGCCAGACAGGTGTGGAGGTAAGAGTCTACCAAGGCGAAAGACCTCTTGTGAAGGATAATAAGCTTATCGGCAACTTCAAGCTCGCTAACATTCCTTCGGGCCCAAAGGGCACTCCACAAATTGTAGTTTCGTTCGATATCGATGCTGACGGTATCATCAACGTTTCTGCAACTGATAAGACTCCATACCCAGAAGACTCCCCTCACTACGGTAAACCTAATTCCGTCAGTATCCAGGTGACGGGTCAGACTAGTATGTCTGAAGAAGAGATAAAGGAGGTCTTGAAGCAGAGCTCTGAGAATGCCAAGAAGGATGCCGAATACAAGCAACATGTTGAGAATGCCACCCGTGTGGACATCTTGTGCACGGATGCTGAAAATGCTGTCACCCAGTTTGGAAAGCTCATGGACGAAGAGGACACTAAAGCTATCAACGACATTATCGACTCGCTCAAGGCCAAGGTGACTGATGTCAGAGAAAAAGGCATCCTTCACGATGTTGCAAAAATGACGGAAGAGGTAAACCAAATGCAACAGGTGACAATGGCAGCTGTGAAAAAAGTTGCAATCAGACAGCAACAACAGAAGAAGGAGCAGTCACAGTAAGACATGAGTCTTTTCAATTGTATATTACTTGTAAATATAATGCATTCAATCAGTTTCCATTCTATCTTCATCAGCAGGAGGTTGTTCACCAGCACCTTCACCCTCGCCTTCAGCAGCAGCGGTCTCGTTCGTGTCAGCGCCCTCGGCGTTATTGTCGTCATTGTCGTCGTCCTCGTTATTCCTCGTGTTGGATGTTGAGTCAAGCTTGTTCAACCACTGCTGTACATCCTCATCGTCGTATACTGTGAAAGACTTGTCCTTGCCCACAACACTGACTGTGGTGTTGCGGATGGTCAATTCCATATCCTGGGACAAGGTATCTCTCAAAGCACTCAAGCCGTGAACAATGAGGTCTTCAATCTGGTCACAAGAACGAATACTATCTAAATTACGTTCCAAGTATGTTCTGGCGGCCTGCGAGCGAGCACCGATAGCAGTACCGAAGTACTCCAACACGGAGCCAGAGGGCTGAAATTCATATAGGTGAGCGCCAGTCTCATCCCAGCCGGCCACAAGCAAACCAACACCGTAAGGTCTGGAGCCGTACAGCTGTGTGTTTTCTTGGGCTTTGTCGGCGATCAGCAAAACGGCCTTGGAGGTGGGCAAAGGTCTGTTAAAGACGAGTTTTGAGTTCATGGCTTGTTTTCTCAAGTAATTGGACAAAACACGAGCATCTGGGGCCAATCCAGCCAAAGCAATACCCATGTGGTCATCGACTTTGATGATTTTCTTTTGATAGCTGCCCAATTCCTCGACATTTCTCTTCAAGGCCACTAGAACAACGTGAGAAGAAGAAGCAATTCCCACAGCAGCACTGCCTTGCTTGATAGCCTCCAAGGCATACTCGACTTGGAAAAGACGACCCGTTGGAGAGTAGGTGACAGAGTCGTTGTCGTAGTTATTTCTAAACATGGTTAATGTTGAAAGATCTGATTATATTGCCACTGTTAACTGTGCTGTGCGAGTAGTTGGTGGAGAGGTGCAGGAAGTCCCCAAGGTTAGAACGGTAATCTCGAAGGAAGAGATGATGAACGGCAATTAATCGTTGTAATATGCTGTCAAAGTTGAAGATTTTGAGATCTTCGTGATTTTCATCGAGTTTAATTGGTAGTTACAGGTGGGATCAGTCCGTTGTGTGTACACATTTTGAACTTTAGCTGCGTGTCTTCAACGGTTGGTACATTATTTGGACTTTTGTCGTTAGAATCGATAATTTTGACTAATTGTACCTATTATTGGCTTTGAAGACTTAAACTTTCACTTGGGTTCCATTTTTGTTGCCCTATTCATACTTTTTCCAGTGGCTGCGAAAAATGCATCAAGTTTGAGAACTTGACCAGAGGAAATCATAGATCGGGAAAGTAAGTCAAAAAACCTTTAAAAGGCTTTTTGAAAATTTCGTCTTACATTACTTCTACCAAAAGATCTCATATCGCAAGGGCCATGGATCGCCCTATCTAAGAGTAGAGAGGTAGATCTAGTCAATAGGGCTCGAAGTGATCCATTCCACTTTGAAAAATAGAGGTAACTCTGAATTGGCAATTGTGCCTCATCTGACTCTATGGGCTCCTAGCAATTGCACCACTGAACATCAAGAGCTCATTTAAGGATTGTCAAATGCCACCACGGGTTTCATCCTCGTCATATCACCGCCATTGACACATACGAGATCAGCTCAATTGACTCAGAGGCGCATTCTTCCCGGAGCAGATCAATTGATACTTTCGTCCGAGCCAGGTCTTCAATAGAAAGCCTGACCCAGACCCCGGCCTTTGCTACGACACCCGGTGAGTCATGAAACTCTACGTACTCCCCTTTGGTTCACCAGCTGACTACGCATATTGGACCCCACCTAGTAGACCCGGAACACAAAAAGTACCAACGCTCTGATCCCAGCGTCCCGCTCAGCCGATGACAGCCACACGGGTCGTCGAAAGCCATAGAACGCGATGGAACGCGCCCTCGGGCCGCATGGCTCACAAAATCCTCCAACAAAGCCATACTTGAAAAAGCCATGGTTCGCCAGACAGGTAGCTCACCAGACGGTGTGGATCACATGGGTACGTCCTTTGGCCCGTGGTGCGAACCGCTATTCCCCGGGCCACCCGAGCACCTATGCGCATTTTTCAAGTCCGAGCCCGAAAGGATCCAGTAGCCAGGGAAGGGGGTGTAAAGAGGGAAATTTGAGGAATTGATAATTTTTTTGTGAAAAAGACGCCCCAATTGCGTTAGCTTTCAATTTTTGTAAAATCTCGTAAATTGCATGCGCCAAACATGGCGGAACCTCTTATGAGCATGGGTGTCACCTGGACTTGCTCAGTCTCCTGAGGTTGTGATATCCTGTGCAAACCCGGCCAGGTGTGGTCCACCGTTAGTCGACGATGCGTATAAATACCCAAGCCGCCCGCGCCCACCAATTGATTCCTTCTTTTTCCCTCCACACACATTTATCGTAAAATGGCTGTTTCCAAAATCTTCGCCCGTTCTGTCTACGACTCCAGAGGTAACCCAACCGTCGAGGTCGACTTGACCACCGACAAGGGTCTCTTCAGAGCCATTGTTCCTTCTGGTGCCTCCACCGGTGTCCACGAGGCCTTGGAGTTGAGAGACGGTGACAAGTCCAAGTGGTTGGGCAAGGGTGTCACCAAGGCTGTTGCCAACGTCAACAACGTCATTGCTCCTGCTTTCATCAAGGAGAACTTGGACATCAAGGACCAGCCAAAGGTTGACGAGTTCTTGAACTCCTTGGACGGTACTCCTAACAAGTCTAAGTTGGGTGCCAACGCCATCTTGGGTGTCTCCTTGGCTGCTGCTAAGGCTGCTGCTGCCGAGAAGGGTGTCTCCCTCTACAAGCACATTGCTGACATTGCCGGCACCAAGCAGGACAAGTTCGTCTTGCCAGTTCCTTTCCAGAACGTCTTGAACGGTGGTTCCCACGCTGGTGGCTCTTTGGCTTTCCAGGAGTTCATGATTGTCCCAACCGGTGCTCCAACCTTCTCTGAGGCCATGAGAGTCGGTTCTGAGGTCTACCACACCTTGAAGTCCTTGACCAAGAAGAAGTACGGTTTGTCCGCTGGTAACGTCGGTGACGAGGGTGGTGTTGCTCCAGACATCCAGACCGCCGAGGAGGCCTTGGACCTTATCGTCGATGCCATTGACAAGGCCGGCTACAAGGGCCAGGTCAGCATTGCTTTGGATGTTGCCTCTTCCGAGTTCTTCAAGGACGGCAAGTACGACTTGGACTTCAAGAACCCAGAGTCCGACTCTTCTAAGTGGTTGACTGGTCCACAGTTGGCTGACTTGTACGTCTCTTTGATCGAGAAGTACCCAATTGTCTCCATCGAGGACCCATTCGGTGAGGATGACTGGGAGTCCTGGTCTCACTTCTTCCCAAGAGTTGCTGACAAGATCCAGATTGTTGGTGACGACTTGACTGTTACCAACCCTATCAGAATCAAGACCGCCATTGAGAAGAAGGCCGCCAACGCCTTGTTGTTGAAGGTCAACCAGATTGGTTCTTTGACTGAGTCCATCCAGGCTGCCAAGGACTCTTACGCCGCTGACTGGGGTGTCATGGTCTCCCACAGATCTGGTGAGTCCGAGGACACCACCATTGCTGACTTGGCTGTCGGTTTAAGATCTGGCCAGATTAAGACTGGTGCTCCTGCCAGATCCGAGAGATTGGCCAAGCTCAACCAGATCTTGAGAATCGAGGAGGAGTTGGGTGACAAGGCTATCTACGCCGGTAAGAACTTCAAGGCTGCCCAGAACTTGTAAGTCGCTGAATAGCTGATTTAGACAATTATCGAATTAAAATATATTATTGATACAAAGTTAGCTGCGTACCTATCCAAGGTGGCTCAATGCCTCTTGGATTCTAGAAACAACCGTCTCCACATCTGAAAGGGTGTTGTATAAAGGCGTTGGAGCGATTCGGATGACATCAGGACGTCTTTCGTCACATATGATTCCATGATCATGAAGGTATCCGTTTACTCTTTCCATAACGTTTGACTCCTTGTTGTCATTGTGAGGTTGAAAAAGAACGGATAACTGACAGCCCCTTTCGTTTTCATCCTTTGGAGTAAGAATCTTGTAACCAAGCAGAGTAGAATCCGAGGAGTCGCTGATATAGTACTTGCTCTCCTCAAGACGATTTCTCAAATGGCCTGTCAATGCAAAACTCGTTTTTCTGAGGGCCTCGATGCCACCAGCTTCCTCGAATATATCAAGCGAGGCCTTCAATGCAACACAGTCTATCACCAGCGGGTTGGATTGACGATAGGAGAGTGCAGAATTGATTGGGTCAAAAAGCTCAAGCATTTTGAACCTTTCAGCTGAGTTATTACCCCACCAGCCGGCAAGCCTTGGGGGATAGTGATCTTTAGAATTGTCCTTGGTATGACGCTCATGCACGAAGATACCGGCAATACCGCCAGGTCCCGAATTGAGATACTTATAGGAACACCACACTGCAAAGTCCACGTTCCAATCATGAAGTTTCAATGGAACGTTGCCAACGGCATGTGCCAAGTCCCATCCAACGACTATGCCATGTTTCTGACCGGCCCGAGTGATCTCTTCAATGTTGAAAAACTGGCCAGTGTAGTATTGGATTCCAGGGAAGCAGATCAATGCAAGCTCATCCTTGTGAGTTTCTATAGCAGTAAGAATATCGGCCAAATCAAGGTGCTTTTTGCCTGGTGCAACCTCCAATTGTACCAAGTGAGTCTCATCGTAGCCATGCAATTTGACCATGTTGAGAAAAGCGTAGTAGTCGGAGGGGAATGCGTTCTTCTCAAACATGATCTTGGTCTTCTTGCCCTCAGGCTTGTAAAATGAGACGAGCAAGGCGTTCAAGTTAGATGTCAAGGTGCCCATGGCTGCAACTTCCTTTGGAGTAGCACCAACCAAATTGGCCAACGGACGAACAAGCGGAAGATCAATGTCCACCCATGAGGTTTTACCCTCACTCTCACCAGGATGATTGAAATGACCCTCGACTCCACGAGCTCCCCAAGCATCGAGCTCATCCGAGAGAGCCTTCCTAGTGGCTTTAGGCATAAGGCCTAAAGAGTTACCAGCGAGATAAACGGCAGATGTATCATCACTCAAGCCAGCAGGAGGTTTAATACCCAAACTTTTTAAAGTGGGAATTTGAAATTTATCCTTGAAGGTCGGAAGTTCGGTAGTTTTAGACATAAGTGGGCAGAGATACAGATCTCCGGTTCTATACCGCTTGTGGTGCATGCAGGCGGATTGTTGAAACCCGTTGCAACAACGTCATGAGATGCTCTAGTTGGTCATAAGTGATGAATTTTAATGATCAAAATAGAAACTTCTATTCATAGCTGTTCTTTAGGCAAAGTTTGGCTTTCGATGTTTGAGAACGAGTCTTGTAAGCAACGGAAGTTTGGACCGTTTCGGCCGACAAGATGCCCTTTTCGGTTATATTTCCACAGGTTTTTAACCATAACTCTGATTTACTCTCCAACAAGATCTAAAGCTTTTTAAAACAGGTGTAAGATCCTTCAGGTTCTTCTTCAATGCAGCCAATTGACAGACACCCGTGCACCAAGCATTGTGCTATCTATCGCTCACGGCTGTGTAATTCAGAGGATATTACCATGATCCATTCAGTTCTTATATGTAAGTAATTGATAAGTCAGCGCTACTGAAATTTAAGCTAACCTCAGTCAACTACGATGGCGTTCCTCGCCTTATTAAGTTCTACACTGCCGTTGATGTGCAAACCCAAAGAACGCTACTTCTGCAAGTACACCTGCTCATATCCAAGAGAACCTCGCAAGAATGTTCTTTCATCACTCCACCTAGACTTTTAGAGGGCTTGGATGATATTAAAGTCATTTATAGACATTATGCTACCCTATACTTTGTTTTCATCGTCGACGACCAAGAATCCGAATTAGGTATTCTTGACTTGATCCAGGTCTTTGTCGAATGTTTGGACAAATGCTTTCCCAATGTCTGTGAACTTGACTTGGTCTTTGGATGGCAAGTTCTACAAACTGTGCTAGAAGAGATTGTCCAGGGTGGAATGGTTATAGATACGAACATTCTGCGAATTGTGGCCGCTGTGGATGATGCAAATAGTCAAAAGGTTACAGGAGTCAATGGAGGTACCTCACTGCGGTGGCTCTCTCTTGAAAATGGGTTCGGTTGGAGGAGATAGAGCAACTACTAACTAGGTCTCAATGAATACGAAGAATTCATTCTTTGAAAGATATCGACGCGCTCCTGATTACATCAAATCGACCCTATTATTTGATGTATGTATCTCCGAAGGTCGCTCTCTGCTACCAAACGTCTAACGTTACTCATGACTTGTCTATGTACATCTCATGCTATTCATGCAAAACTGGGAACTACCAGAACTTCCACCAGCTTTTCTTCGACTGTTTCATCAAGCTCTCAGCTTCTTGAAGCTCCGCATTAGCTTTTTCGACCTCGAGCTTACGCTTGTCGTCCTCTTCTTGCTTGAAGAAAGCCGTTTTGTCAACCAATCTTGGATCAACACCACGACCCTCCTTTTCAAAAGGAGACTTAATTGGGCCAGACTTCCAGATGGGATCATTGGACTTGTAAGTCTCTTTGACAATCTTCATCAATTCTTGTTGCTCCTGTTGCCTCAATTTCTTGTTGCGCTCATAGTCAGCTCTAATTTCGGGAGAAAAGCGAGCAATGAGCTCTTCATCTGTTGGAACAGTGTAGTTGTATAGAAGCACACCTGTTCCGATAATGCAAGCGCCCGTGACGTAGACACGGGCCCAGACTCTCCATGCTGGTCTTACGTTTGACATTGCAAAGCTGGTAATCTGTATAAAGAGCGCTGTGATTGACTGATGAGGCTCTATACATGCAGGAAATTCGGATGATTTCAATCCTCCGTTCCCACCTGAGGTACGGGTCTCATACCGTTGCAAAAGACGGCTCAGACAGACGCACTAAGTTCCGGCAGATTTCATCAGATATGCCGCATGAACATCTGACGTTAAAACGTGGCTTTACTGGGCAACCAAGACCACGACGCAGCCCCATTGGCCAACAAAGTCTATTGTGAAAAACGTTCGACTCTGATTGTATTGAGTCGAAAATTGACTTCATTAGCCCGCTTGAGCCGGTTCCAAACATTACACAGCTAAAGTGCATGCAGTGGCTACTCAAGGAGAACACTTAACGGAACGGAATAGAGAAGTAATTTCATCTGCGTGTTATAGGAAAGAAGTATCATGCGGCTCCTGAAATCTATTCTGAGCTCAAGATTGAAGAGAAATTCGCGGTAAGAGCATTGGCATCTTCCCCTATAAAGCAGTCCAACATTCGCGGTCGGACCAAACAAGCTTTTTTTTTTTTTTTTCCGCCGGCACGTGCAAGCAACGCACTAGAAATAGTCTTATTTTCTCCTAGTGAGAAAGTATACGAGCTATACGAGCTGAACACACAAACCCCGTTCTCCTAATTAGCACAGCCCAGTGAATCACGGTGGCAAACATCGTTCAAGAAGAACCTTTTCCCACCTCCAGAATAATACGGGGCTTCCAATACGCGATCTGTGAACCGTGCTTTTGATCTGAATATCTAGCCTCGTGCTAACTAACTTAATTCAACCTATTCCTCGAAGATTCAACTCTCCCGAGCCCCAACCTAACCATGTCTGGAGAAAGTCAAAGCAAGAAGAACTCTTTCAAAAGAAAGTTTCATTCCAAGTCTCGTATGGGCTGCCTGACATGTAAGAGGAGAAGAGTCAAGTGTGATGAAACAAGGCCTTCTTGTAAGAACTGTGTCAGGATGAAGCTTGTATGTGGATACACCGAATCAAGTGATCATGATCATGATCACCATGAACCACCAACTAAGAAGGTGAGCATCAAGAAGGAAGAGAGACATCTGGTTTCATCAACGTCAACGTCGTCAGCCAATGATCAGACGTTCTCATCCCCTGAAACCCAGCAGGCAACGCCAGACAAGACACCGCCTCCAAACTTTCCAAACGCGATGAATGGAGTTCCGGCTTTGGCGGCGACTGCTTTAGGAGCCGGTTTACTCAATGCTGGAAATCTCAATAACATCAATTTGAGCCATCTTGTGAACAACTTGAGTAATCTCGGCGATCTTAGTGGCTTGGGTAATGTTGCGAATTTGAGCTCGTTAGCAGTTCTTGCACAACTTCCTATCGATTTGAGTGGACTTGGAAATCAGCTTGGTGGCAATTTTGAAGGTCTCATGGGAGCATCCGCCGGACTACTGGGAAATCCGCTCGCTGCTGCTCAAAGCGCATCTGTTCCCTTGCAGCAAGATACTTCCAATCAAGAAAAGCCCACGGCTACACAAACACTGCCAAGTATATCACCAAATGTTTCCACGCCCCCAATGCCTAATCCCATGCAAATGGCCGCCTCTGGTGCTGGCTCTCTCAACATGCTAGATTTGAAGTTGATGTATCATTACACAAGTCAGGTATCCAATACAATTACCGGAGCTGGCATCTCGGATACTGATATCTGGAACCATGACGTGCCAATGTTGGCTTTTCAATACCCCTTTTTGATGCATGCGATCTTGGCTTTCAGTGCTACTCATTTGTCTAAGACTGAGAAAGGTTTGGATCATTGCGTCACAAGCCATCGAGGGGACGCACTCAGGCTTCTACGCGAAGCTATTTTGGACATCAACACTAATAATACCGATGCTTTGGTGGCAAGCGCACTTATATTAATCATGGATTCATTGGCGAACGCATCTGTTCCGTCACTGACATCGCCTAAGTCGCTTCCTGCCTCTGCCTGGATTTTCCATGTGAAAGGAGCTGCAACTATTCTTACAGCTGTATGGCCTCTTACGGAAGCATCGAGGTTCTACAAATTCATCAGTGTGGATCTCGGGGATCTTGGTGATATAATAAATGAGAAAAGCCAGCTTTCCTCGCTTCAGCTGAAATCGTTTGCTGATCTCGAGTGTCATGACAATGACATTGCCGATCTCTATCCGGTACTGATTGACTCGCCCTATCTCGTCACGCTAGCGTACTTGAACAAGCTTCACAAGGAGCGGTACAAGGCGGACTTCATCTTGCGTATCTTTGCATTTCCAGCATTGTTGGACAAAGATTTCTTGGGTCTTTTGATGACGGGTGACATCAAGGCCATGCGGATCATGAGGTCGTACTACAAGCTTTTACGTTCTTTCACCACAGAAATGAAGGACAAGGTGTGGTTCTTGGAAGGAGTTTCGCAGGTTTTGCCTGTGGATGTCGAGGAATACGCTGGAGGCGCTGGTGGTATGCACATGATGCTTGACTTTTTGGGCGGCGGCCCCTCGATCATCGAAGATCACGAAGTGGACAAGGATCTACTGATGATTGATCCTGAGGGTCACATCGCTAATAAACTAATCGACACCGACAACTTACCCAGCGACATTACCAGCAACTTGGAGATCATGCAAGGAGACAATGGATTCATTGGTTCAAATGATTTATAGAGGCATTGCCACATGTTTACGAGTTACGTGATTAACAATAAAATTAATCGGATTTCATAACCACGGACAATACCGTGAGGATCAAAAAGAAAAAAGCATATGTAGCGGGGGTCTTATCAGGAGTGCTCACCCGGTCGCGCCGAATCACCCAAAATCAGTGAAACGGTCGTCTAAAAGATGCAACCATTTTACTATAAACACGAAAATGATTGGACCTAGATAAGTCACAAAAAGTTAGCTAACAAATTTGTTGATTTCAGTGCTCCTGAGGACATCCCCGAGTGGCTCGCGATTCCCTCCACCAAACGCCCTCCCCAGTGCCCTCTGCAGTACCACCTCACGAGGTAAAGTTTTTTTTTTTTATTTCTTCCTTCCTGGTTTATCTCCCGAGAAATTCACCTTTGATCTCGAATTCAACCGCCCCGAGCTTGTTGTCACCCCCGCCTCTGTACACATTCCTTTAATCTCGTTTAAAGCCGTGCGGTGCAACCCTCGTTTTTCCAGATAAACAACCTTGTCCAGGCCATATCCACAAAATCCCCAAATGCAAACCATAAAGTGTGTCGTTGTCGGCGATGGTGCCGTTGGTAAAACATGCCTTTTGATTTCCTACACGACGTCAAAGTTCCCAGCTGACTACATCCCTACTGTTTTTGACAACTATGCCGTTACGGTGATGATTGGTGACGAACCTTTCACCTTGGGTCTCTTTGACACCGCCGGTCAGGAAGATTACGACAGATTGAGACCTTTGTCTTACCCCTCGACAGACGTGTTCTTGGTGTGTTTCTCTGTCATCACCCCTCCTTCTTTCGAGAACGTTAAGGAGAAGTGGTTCCCTGAGGTCCATCACCACTGCCCTGGTGTGCCATGCCTTATAGTCGGCACGCAGACCGATTTGCGTGACGATAACGTTATAAAGGAACGTTTGCACAGACAGAAGTTGAGCCCTATCACGTATGAACAAGGTGAGAAGTTGGCCAAGGAGTTGCGTGCTGTCAAGTACGTTGAGTGCTCTGCCTTGACGCAGAAGGGTTTGAAGACCGTGTTTGATGAGGCCATTGTGGCTGCCTTAGAGCCACCCGTGATCAAGAAGTCCAAGAAGTGTGCTATTTTATAGGCTATGCGTGCCGGGCCCGCTTGTATACGCTGTACATCGTGGACTGGATCCGCAGGAGAGTTTGAGTATAAAGCGTCTTTAAAACTAAATAGCCTGGACTTGTTGCGTGGCACCTGATGTTATTTGCATTCCCTCTCATAAGGGGCGCCTTAGGCGTCCGTGTATAGCGATGTTGCTCAATGAATCCAAGTAAGCGATATGAAGTAGGCCTGTGGCTCTTTTGGTGACAGGTACATGCTAGAAGGAGCTCGACATGTTCCACTCAACGTATAGGAAACCCTCCAATTGAAAAAGACAGCTTGAGGTTGGAAAGGCAGCAATGGCCATAGCAGCCCTAACATACATAAATAGTGCTACCAACTCCACCGAACAAGCCGGTGCTCGTCAATTATTGCAAGAAATCTCTAAGAGGTTTAACTATCGAAAAATAACTGCTCATCTCAAACCCAGATAAGGTATGTTTTGGCGCATTCGCTCGCTTAGGTGCATGTTTCGGTAACGCTTCCGACGGAAGCATGCAAGCGACGTTACGCTGTTCACTAGGCGGGGTCCTTCCCCAGGAACTGGATTTTCACGTTGCACCCAGAACAAATCCCTTTTATACTCAGTTACCAGTTGGGTAGTGGCGCTTGTGCCAATACAGAGGGCAGAACTTAGGACCACCAACCCAACCGCTAACTAACAGCCACAGCCCACTTTTACGGCGTTCACACGCATTAGTGACCCTTGAGTACATCCTTCCTCAACTTCACTCAAACCATGTTCAGCACAACTTCCTCGGAAAGCGTAACTACGGCGTAAAGGAGAACTGGTTTGCAGCCATTCTGAATGCGAACGTCTGGTACTCGTAACCACCGCAAACTACAAATGTAGAACCCCCAAAGTATCCAAAAGACAAACAGAAAAAAAAAAAAAAAAGAAGAATCAAGAAATACTCCAAGAGGCTCTCGCCAAATCCACGGTTTCTCGCTTACCAGCAAGTGGCGGCGCCACCGGGTTCCTTGCAGCGCTGGCTACGGAAATCCGAAGTGGTCCCCAGCCATGTCTCAGATCCAGCGCTGGTAAAATCTCGCCTGCGCAAGGGCACATTATTCCCAGGAAAAGCGCCTCGTTCTGGGCAGCACTTGCCTCACTACAGCAGCAACTAATCCTGCCGCCGTGCATACGAGGGTCTGAGGCGCACCGGTCTGGGGGCTAACAATGCCGTCTGGAGATAAAGGCAGGGTCTAAGAAGTCTAAGTTACACTGCCTCTCTTGCAGATGGAAGCCGTGGAAGGCAGAGTTTTTCGGTGGAATTGGGGAATGAGATTTCATTTTTTTCCCATGTTTGCACCGCCGCAACCGGCGTAGCGCCAAAACACCTGGCCTGGAAGCAGAGCTGTCCTGGTCCTGGGCGGGAGTTGCTGCAACTTTTGTGACATACGCCTTGCAGCGTTTGCACCCAGTGCGTATCACAGTCCCGTGGTCTTCATCCTCCATCTTCGTAGATTTCCTCCTACACCCACTTCCTCTTCCATGTCTGTGCGTTCTGACGGCTCCGTAGGGCTGGGTTACATCACCTCCCTGAACGATCCGGGCCATGCTCCCAGTGAGTACTCCCATTCTCGCCTATCGTCCAACTCCTCCACCGCCAACCTGGTCCACAGAGACATGTGGTCCAGGGACTTCAGGGGCTCTGGTCAGACTGACTCCATGGGGAAGCTCTCCACAAACCCGCTGGGCACCGTCACTTCTTCCAACACCGCCAAGGAGTACTTCCAGTCGCCTACTTCGGAGCAACCGAAGCGCAAGCGGTTGGTAACCAAAGAGCAGATGTTGGCTTACCGAACCTATGTCAACGACATCAACTTCACCCAGGGCCAGTCTGAGTACTTGAACGATCGTGGTCTGAGACTGCCTCGTGAGAATAGAACCGCCGACTACCTCCAGGTCACCCCGAACATCGTCCCTGGATACACCTTGACGTCTCAGCTCTCGCTGCCATCGTCCACCCTGCTTTTGTTTTACGACACCGACGATGCCGATGACTCTCTGTGCATCATCCGTCTCCTGCCCAATTTCGTGGAATCTGTCCCCGTGGCTCGCTTCTTGAACGAGTGGTACCTCACATCGGGTGAAAATCCACCCAAGCATCATAGACCGTGGTGTAACCATCTCGCTGGCAATGAGTTTGTTCCTTCAGGTCGCTATAACTTGCGTAGCGCTGAATCTCGCTTGAACCTACGCACCCCAGTCACTCTACCGACCAATCTACCGGGTGTTTTGTATCCGCTAGATGTCTTCAATATCCACTCGGACCATGAGGACGTCTTTCAGCGTCGAATTGGATTTGTCTACCCGAATCATGACTACAAAACCATCAAAGAGTACCACGCCGACAAGACCCCTGAGAAGGCTGGGAGCGATAACTCCTCCTTGAACGGAGGTAGTATACGCTCTATGCTCTCGGAGATGTCGATTGGCGAAAGTTCTCTGAATCGGTTTATCACGAGGAACAATTTGGGAACTGGTGTTTTCGATGACTTAGCCAACAGGGTCTCCCAGCAGCCCAAGGATAGGCTCGCCATTATCAAGATCTTGAGTGACATGATCGCTCTCTTCACCACCCTTTCCGTTTGCCACGAGTTAGGAGTGGTCCACAATGGTATCACCAGTACCGCCATCTTGCGAGCTTGCAGCTTACCTGACGACTTGGATCCTAAAGAGCACTCTGTGGTGTTAACGGGCTGGGACTTTGCATTCAGCATTTGCGTTGAAGACTCGACCTCCAGTTATAGAAAGAGCAACATCGCAGACATCCCAGACTATTTGCCCTACATGTCGCCTGAAAACTCTGGTGAAACTACATGCTTGGTTGATTACAGAACTGACTTCTACTCTGCGGGTATTGTCCTTTACGAGTTGATCGTTGGATGCCTTCCGTTCCAGTCTGATAACCCTGTGAGACTCAGAAAGATGCATATCTCTCAGCGTGCTATTCCTCCACTGATCTTGGGTCAAGGGTGGATTAGTGAGGACTTGAACGACATCATTATGAGATGTTTGGAGAAGGATCCAGCTGACAGATACAACAATGCCCACGCCTTGATCAGCGACTTGAAGGAAGTCAGGAATGATTACTTGAGATTGTACAATATGGAACGCCAGGAGGGCGAGCAGGAAGCTCCTCTCATTCATGATAATATAGAGCTTCACAAGGATCGCAACACGCTTCCGTTGCTTCACAGCACGATCAGCAAGTTGAAGGAAACCCCTTGGAGAGAACAGGTTTTCACGGCATTCAAAGAGAAGCACGAGGGAATTCACTTCATCCTCTTGTCTGGTGACAGCGGTGTGGGCAAAACAACTTTGCTTCAAGAATTGAAAAACGTTGCGGTCTCCAATTACAATTTCAGCATTTCATGGTCCTACAACTGCTCTGATATCAACGTCACTCCTTACAAGTCCGGTATATCTGCCATTCAGAGTATTGTGAAGCAAATTTTGGCGTCTTCAAAGGAGAATATTGCAGAATGGAGACACAAATTCACTGTCGAAATTGACACTGACCTCAGTATACTTTTTCCTGTCATTCCTGAGCTACAAGAACTTTTAGGTCCCAGGTACCAAAGCATCAGAACATACAGACCACAGGCAGAGGGTGAAGGCGCAATTGATGTTGGCGCCGAGACCGATTCGAGTGAGCAGATATCTGAGGATAGCAGCTCCAGACTCAGCAACCTTCCTGGATTTGATCAGCATTCTCTCAATATTGAGATGAAGCTTAAGTATATCATCAAGCGTGTATGGGCCTTAATAGGACCAAACGGTGTCACCCTTGTGTTGGATGATATTCAGTGGGCTCACCCTGCTGAGGTTGGCTTTTTAAAGGAAGTCTCCAGCTTTTGCACATTGAACGAAGAACCTCTCAATATCAAAGTCATTTGTGGCTACCGAACTGGAGAACCTTCTTGTGAAAAAGATAAGGCTAACACTGAATATGATGAAATTGTGTCTATTTTAGACCTCCCACTGTGCAAGCTTAGTGAGTATTCGTTAGAAGCTCCAAGTGAAGCTCATTATTATGATTTTATCAGCGAGAACAATCTTGGGCCAGGAAGATCATTGCCAACAGAAAAGGACAACTTTGTGTCAACCCTATATAAAGCTACAGATGGTGTGTTTCTCAGGTACAACTATCTCATGAGGAATCTTCATTTACGGGCTGACGACGATGGAGTTAATCTTGACTTGATGCAAAGTTTGTTGAACAACAAGGATCTTCCAGTGCCTATGACTGACATAGTCAAAGAGTATCTCGACATAGCTCTCAGTGAAGAGTCAAAAGAGCTTCTCAAGTTTGCCGCAATAATCGCTTCGAATGGTTATTTCAGTTTTGCCGACCTAATGATCGTTACTGGTAAGGATCTCAGCGAAGTTAGTGAACTATTATCTGAATGTTTGGAAACTCGAATTCTTGTCCCATCTGGTATATTCTACAAAATTCCATTCCATCTCGTTGGTGATGAAGACTTCCCATTCGATTTCAGTGACTCGATGATTTGGGAAATGGCTACCAAAGCAAAGTATCACTTTGATCACGACGCAATCCAGATTTACTTCTTGTCTGAGTTGGTAAGCACGAATGAATGGCGGAATCACAACAAGTTGTGTGGTCTCAGGTATCAAAAGAAATTATCCACAGATGTGAATGTCGATATCACCAGCAACTTGATCCTGGCTTTCCACTTATATCTCGCCGAGCCAGATGCAAATGACAAAGATCTGGAGAATTATTACGAGACATTTGTTACTGCTGGAAGGTACGCACTCGCAACATCCAATCTTCAATTGGCTCGAAACTTTTTCGAATTCTCAGCAAGATATATCGCCCCACATGACAGGAGGAGCCGTCTCCGAAACTTGCTCACCGTTTGTCAAATCAATTTCCATTTGGGAAATTTCACCGAGTGCACGAATTTGATTCAGCAAGCTGAAGAAAGATACGGATCAGACAGTTCAAGCTTCTTGTACCTCAAGGTTAAGTGTTTGTTCCATACAAGACAGTATAGAAGAGGTATGAGAACAATTCTTAAAGGTCTTGAGTCTTTTGGAGTGGAAGTTTCAGGAGATCCTCAGAAGTGTGAAGAGATTGCAGAAAGATTCATCAATCAGGCCCCACTTTCCATTGCGGACATCAGGGCCATGCGCCAACTCAAGCCTTCCAACAATCTGAGATTCAGATTTATTGTTGATTTGATTCTGGATGCAATGGGTCCCTCTTACATCTTGGGAATGTCTCATCTAAGAATGGCTCTTTTGTCCCAGTTAATTCGTCTCATGAACACCCATGGTGTGACTGCTACTTGTGCCATCCCATTAATCCATCTTGCAAACTACTTCGTTCAGCCAAATGTTAGGAATAATACCGCTAAGGCCATTGAGCTTTGTGATGTTGCCTTGACTTTGGTGAACAATTATGGCGGTTCGAGTACTGATCTCACCAGTCAAATCTACGAGACTTTCGTCAATTTGATGGCCTCTTTCAAGCACACAACTACCGAGCTTGTCAAGTTTTCAGAAGGCTTCAACACTCAAGATGCCTCCCTCATGAAACCAAGTTCGTCTTGCATGTCCTTGTTTTTCACTGCTTCTAACTTTCTCCTTTCCTTTTTGACAAATTCGACTCATCCCTCAACGTTTAGGAAGCTGATGAGATTTGCTAACGAGGAGGACGACAACATATCGCAATGTGCACTTGGTTTGTGGACAGAAGATGTCTCTTACAACACTTACAAGGAATCATACTCGAAGATTTCTACTCAACAAAGACCTGACTTGGAATTTGTGTATCTTGCAAACGCTGTCATATGGTTAACCTCCGAGTCTCGGTATAAGGAGGCAGCTGAAATTGTTCTTGATCGATGCTACCATGTACTGAGAAGATTACCAATCTCGATATTCCATCTTGAATTCTATTTTTACGCTGCTGTTTCGTTGTGTTTGGGCTCTGACTCGATGCCTAACACGGCATCCTTACCTTTGGCTGCCAAAATCATGAAGATGTATGACTTGTGGGCTGATATTTGTCCACCAAACTTTGAAAGCAAGCTGGCTATTCTTCATGCTTGTTACAGCTGCGCTCAACTGTCCAAAACATCTTTAACTGTTCTTGACAATTTTGAGGTGGCGATTGAAACTGCTAACAGAGCCACTCGGTGGATTGAGGCGTGCTTGGCAAATTACTTGTGTGCCAAATGGCTAAAGAAAACTTCAGAAAGCAAGAGGAGAATTTCATATTACGCTCAAAATGCTTTGTCTATTGCTGCAACTCTTAAAGCTGAGAGGCAAGTTGATATGATGCAAAGGGAGTTCAGCTCTGTCTTTGATAGCTTCAACTGGGCAGGTGTTTCGATTCTCAGTGACAACCAACAACCTAGCCCACGAGGTCCACACTCACTTAACAGTCAGCTTCAACACATTTTTGCTGAGAGTAACTATGGTGCTGGATCTGCCCCCAAGCTTCCTAGGCAGGAGAGCAATACCAGTGTCAGTAACAACCAAGAGCCTAATATGCTTCTTCGAGGTCCTCAAGATGATTTGCCTACCCAGTCGGAGTTGACTAAAGCCATCAAGCTCTGTTTGACCATTTCGGAATCGTCCGATATTGACTCAATTGTGACCAGCTTGCTCGAAAGCGCTCTTCTTTTTTCGAATGTTGACTACGGAGCTGTTGTTCTCAATCTCAATCAGTCTGAGCCAAGCATCAAGGCCATCGGTACGTTGAACAATATGTACAAGTTTGACGATGAGCCATTAGGTTTCAGGACTGACTTGGTACCTTACTCACTTGTGGTTCACTGTTTGCTCATGGGTGAGGCTATAAATAAAGATGACAACCCAGCTTTGTTTGACTCCAAATTTGGAAATGATCACTACTACTTGCACAATCCATGCTCCTCGGCAATTTGTATTCCGATCAAGAGTACCAATGTTTACGGCGTGATCTATTTGGAGAGGCATACTTTGCCAAACGAAGTGCCCCAGAGCTCGCCACATTTCCATTCCAGAAAGATTGATTTGATAGACTTGCTTTGTTCCCAAGCGGCAGTGTCTTTTGGAAAGTCATTGGTGTACTCACAAATGGAACTTGCAAAGAAGGCCGCAGAAGACGCAACGGCTGAAAAGGCCAGCTTTTTGGCAAACATGTCTCATGAGATCAGAACTCCTTTCAATTCTCTTTTTGCATGTTCCCTTTTCTTATTGGACACATCCTTGACCGACGCCCAAAGGGAATATGTTGAGACCATTAAGAGTTCAGCCTTGGTCACTCTCAGTATCATCGATGGTATTCTTGCGTTCAGCAAAATCGAGCATGGATCATTTACCTTGGATCACGCTCCATTTGATCTCAATTCATGTGTTGAAAGTGCCATCCAAGTGACAAGTGAACAGACGTACAACGAGAATCTTGAAATCGTCTTCTACAATCATTGCCCTGGTATTCTCGAAGTGATGGGCGACAGCACAAGAGTCCGTCAAATCATTATCAATTTGGTTGGTAACGCCGTGAAATTCACAATGGAGGGTCACATTAAGATCATTTTGGAGGCCAAACACATGGGTGATAAAAGGTACGATCTTAAGCTTACTGTTGAGGATACTGGTATCGGTATACCTGCTAATTCGAAGTCCAAGGTCTTTGGAGCTTTCTCTCAAGTTGACGGTTCTTCTCGTCGTGTTCATGGCGGCTCAGGTCTTGGTCTTGCAATTTCCAAAAAGTTGGTTGACATAATGAACGGTGACATTCAGTTCGACAGTGTGGAGGGGGTTGGAACCACCTTCTATTTCACATGTCCGTTTGAGGTGAGCAAATATATCGAGAAGCTGGACGTGAAGCCTCGTAATGTTGCTCTTGTTCTCGAGGATTGTTTCAGACGGGAGGCTTTTGCACAGCAGCTTGAGTTCCTCAATGCCAAGGTGCTGATTTTTGGCAAACCCGAGGCCTTCGTGAATCAGAAACAAAAGTTTGACGTCATCTTTGTTGATGATCGATTCTTGAGTGATTTAAGCAAACCGATAGAAGAGCTCAAGGGCTCAGACACCCAAATTCACCTCATCACAGAGTTTGGTACCCCAGTGTCTCATATAAACTTGCCTGAGATTGGACTCAGCTCGATCCTCTTTGCACCAATGAGAAGATCGAGAGTGGAGGAGCTTTTACGTGAAAGTTATGAGGATCCAGCACTGTTGAAGAAGCCCAAGCAACAAGGAACTGGTTCTACAGCTATATTGGGTGAGACATATCCATTGAAGATCTTACTCGCCGAGGACAATGCTATCAATTTGAGGGTAGCACTGCAGCATTTGAAAAAGCTAGGATACGTTGCCGACCACGCAAAAGATGGTGTGGAAGTTCTAGAAAAGTGTGACGCCATGTTGAAAGCTGGTGGTAAGTACGATGTCATTTTCATGGACATCCAGATGCCACGAAAGGATGGTATCACCGCGACAATGGAGCTCAAGGAATCATTCATTATCAATGGCCACGTCGACTTACTACCAGAGATCGTTGCATTGACGGCGAATGTCGCTGGTGAAGACCGTGATAAATGCCTTAACTGCGGAATGACAGACTTCATTTCCAAACCAATTCTCCCCGAGGAGCTCAGAAGAGTGCTCACGAGAGTGGGTGTACACAAAAAAGCATTACAATAATCATATAGACAATTAGATTACTAAGAACATTTTCGTAGCGCTTGCACTCATGGCAATCCGTGATCACGGGCGGCCTTGAGTCTCTTCTCGGTCCAGGCCTCCAACTCCGTCTTGAACTTCTCCACAGCCGACTTCTCAGGCGACCACTCGGCCTTCTCGGCGGCGGTCAATTGGTTCCAGCGGTTACTCAATTCCTTGAGCACAACAGCCAGGCTCTCGCCGTCGTAGTACTTCTCCTTGAGGTAAGAGGCAAAACCAGGCATTGGACGCTTAGGCTTGGGTGGGTAGATCTGTGCACGTTTCTGGTTGATTTCGTCTGCTCTTCTCTTGTAGCCCTCCTTCTCACCCTCTGAGAGGGTCTTCCACTCAGCGGCAACATCACTGAGCTTCTTGCTTGGGTTTGTCTTTTCTTTGATGTAAACGTGGTGGCCTGAGAGACTTCTGAGAGGCTTGAGAGCCTTCTGCTTGAATGCCTTCTCCTTCTCCTTCAATTTGGCCTGTTTGGCCTTCTCAGCCTGCTTAGCAGCCTTCTTCTTCTCGGAGTCGGTCTTTCCTCTCTGAGCGAACGCGACAGCTGACACTGTAAAATTTCTCGATGGGGCGGTAACACTTTGAGCAGCCAAAGCTCTCAATACACCGAATTTTGAGGACAACATCACGTAAATCGTTTCACAATTGGGTGTACAAGAGGTGTAACTCGTTTGTTTTGGTTGCGCGGGCTTATGCGTGTGGGTGCTGCACGACTGTGTCAGGCTGGGGAAATCTGCAATTCTCGCGAGGTGCCTCGGGGCACAATCGCATGATGTTTTCTTGATATCTCGCATATTTATTGGGGAGCTAATAGAATCTAAAAATATTAGTATAGTCTAACAAGCGCTTCAAGCTAGTGGGGATAAGAATTAAATAAGCCGGTTAAAGGGCATTTTCAAGGAAGCGCGTGAAACGCTTGAGACCAAAGTTTCTCTCGTCAGTGAGCTCGTCTGCGCTAGTGATAGCTTTGGCCTCGATCTTTTTCAACAAGTTTTTCTCAAAAAGGAACATGCTGATGTGGAAGCCTTGTGGTTCGACGTAAACGCAGGTGTTTTCCGTTTCGTAGGTGTAAAACTCAGGCCCAAGCTTCTCGTCTAAGTAGGTATGACCGTACCAATCAAGGCCAAGAGCGTACTTGGCCCACCAAAGCGACTCATCGCGTAGAGTCTCGCTTTCTCCACAGAGCATAAAGACTTTTCTGTTGGGATCGTTGAATGTGGGAATATCCAGCCAGTCACTCTCTAGTGCTGGCTCCTTGGACATGGGTGAGTATATCAAGCTCTTGCGGTCCACATTCCCGAAAAGCATTGTCTTCTCTTCTTCGGTAGACGCAGGGAATGGGATAATGTCACCGTCGGAACAAGTACGAATCGAAGACTTCTCGGAAATCGACTCTATATCAGGGTATATGTAGAGCCATGGTGAAAGCACCATGAGCTTTAAGGGGTAGTCCTCTTTTGGTGCACCCTTTTCTTTCAACAACTGCGTGAGGCACACCGCCAAATTACCACCAGCGGAGTCGCCAATCAAGCCAACGTTTTTGTGGGTCTTGAGGACTCTATAGTATGTCTCGTATAGTTGATTTATCTGGATGGGCATAGAGTGGCCATCGCATGTAAGGCCATAGTCTAAAATCAAAATCGAGCACTTCTTTTGCTTTTCTGGAGGCAAGAGTAAGTAGCTCTGGATGAGACCCTCTGCCTGATTAGGCCCTAGCTGGGAGAAGAAGCCTCCTCCGTGACAGTAGATGAAAATAGTGTCATCCTCTGCGATATCAGGTTGCTTCACAAGCCAATAGGACGTGGCGTCAAACTTTGTGTTGTAACCAGGAAGCTGGCTCGTGGCCTTGGGGTAGTTTGATTTAACATTTTTAAGTGTATGGCCCACCAGCTTGAAGTTTAGCGCCTTGAACCTCTTCTTATCCTCAGTCATCACGTTCTTGATAGCAACAATCATCATTACCGACTTGAAATTGTTGGCGTACTTCCCAAAGATGGAGAGGTCACCGTTGAAGGCATAAGCTGACGCATAGTACGCTGCCAGGAAAGGGAGCTTAGCAAAACCCATAAAGAAAGTGTGGTTAGTCTGTGCGTGAGCTCATTACCGAAAAGGTTCCGTGCAGATTCCGCGATACAGAAGCGGGGCGGCTTAAGAACCGAACCGATGCCAGAGCATGTACTGATAGACTTACGATTTTGCAGCTGCAAGGGAGAAAAAAATGATGGACTTTATTTTATGGGTATATGGGAATCCTAGGATTTCTGCCAGGTAATCTGAGTTTGGGGCCTCGGTTACCCAGGCATCATGCATATTTTGGTGCAGGTGTATGCAGCCATTTGCAACCATGACAGCTATCAAAATGTGCTGATAGTTGTCACAGAAAGCTGATGTTCATGAGCGATGAAACTCTTTTGTACTTTTAGAGTAGTAGCAAGCGCGTAAAGGGTTCTTTCACCCCTAGCTTGGTACCCTACCACCGGACAAGCCGCTGTCAAAACGACCCGTCAAAAGTTTATCAGCTGTCTAAGCAATGGTGGTGTGTGGGGTCTCGGTAGAAAAGCCAGAACTTGCTGAGCTAGCTTTGTCCCAAGGCCACTGAATGCCTCCAGGGTGGTAGCCAAGAGTGAACTTCTTACCCACAGCCTGGAATGCAACGCCAGTGTAGTTGCCGCAGGTGCCGTTGAATTGGATCTTTCCACCGTCGTCTGGACAGATGCCAAATGATGGAGCATCCTTGTAAGCCAAACGGTCAGCATCCAACGAAAAGTCTTTTTGGGGAGAGTCAGTAAAGACAAACCAGCCGTCTTCCACCGCGAGGTACTTCTCCAGGTTCTTGTCAGCCAAGGAACCGTCGTCGTTGAGAACAAACTTGATCTCACTGCCTCCAGCATAGACAACCAGACCGGATGAGGAACCGAGACGGCCACCCTGGTAGGGCGTTCCTGATCTCATGGTCATGATCTGGAAAGTCAGGGCAGCGGCAGCGGCAGTAGCAAAAATAGAAAACTTCATTCTCTGGCGCTTCCATAGAGGAAGAGGGTCTGGCTTTATACGTTGCAAAGCAGGAACGTCTAAGCCCTATGCCGTGACTTCATCCACGATACACGCAACACAAGCGGGATCAGTATGCTCTTGCGTATTTGCGAGGCACGGCTTGGTGTGATTGGATATGGGACAAAGCCTTCTGGTATGGAGGCACATACCGCGTAGGTAGGCTTTGATGTGGAACCCAAATAAACAAGCGTCGGCGCATGCAAGCGACAGGGGTAAAAGGGGCACTGGCTGCCAAGAAAATGTGGAGTAGTTAGGAGCATTTCATTCGTCCAGGGTGCGTCCAGGGTGTTCCTGAGGAGGCCGTTTTGATGACGTATGTGGATGAGTTACTTTTCGCAGCCACCACCTATTTATAGAAAACCGGATAGAGAAGAATGGCCGGAGTTAAACACAATTTTATTGCTGTTTGCTTTTGCACAGCCTTTTTGAAATCTTGGTAATTTCATGTACATCCTGTTGACTTGTTCCGAGCTGATGGTGGGTGGTCTGGACGCTTCAAGGCTTTTCTCGCTTGCCTGTGAATTTGCAGTCAGCGGGCGAGTGGTGCCGTGAATTCACGAATCATTATGGCTTTTTCGGTTTTTGAACAAAAGCCTTTAATCTTTTGCTTGCCTCGTTCTTAAGCTCACTTTCCTTCTTTCATGTACTGTGTGGGCCTTCTGGAGCATCTCGCGATCAGTGCTTCATGCTTGTGAAGATCTACAGAAGGCACTGTGGATGATCAGGATCTGATTGCAGCTGTCATTGACGGAATAAAGGAGGTGTTGAAAACTCCTCTTAGGGTTGTGATATTGCAAGCTGCGAATCTCTACTGGTTGGCCTTCATGGTCTCAGTGGTAGCTCCCCAGCCCTCAAGGAACGTGATGGTGTAGCTCGAATGCCTTCTTTCAACAATTGTTGAATTTCTGAGTATACCAAATAGAAGTTAGTGGTTTCTGAAATTGCTCAATGTTCTATAGATCTTTGGTTCTTTCGTCATCTCAAGCGACAGGGTCTTCAACTAGAGTCTCACAATGATCCTATAAAACCACCAATTTCGCAGCCAACCTATTGCACGAAACACCCAATGACAACATCCGCCAACATCATCAAATAACTCGACCAGCCAAACGCAAAAAGTCATGAACGCTAAGCAAATTGAATAAGTTTGTTGATGCTAATTCTTCCACTTGTATAGCCGTGTTCAGCTTCTGGGGCCATCTTCACCTCTCGTACCAAACCTCGCGAACACCGAATCTTTCATCCAAAAAAACGGTATTTGGAGAGACTGATCACGACGACTTTCTAATTTGACCTTTTTTGTCGCGTCTTTCCGCTTTAATCCACATCTTTTCAGAATTTTCGTTCGTCGCCAGTTGTCTTGGACGTCGTGCCCGCGCCAAATCACCAAATCACTTTTTCGCTCCAGCTTCACCAATACCATCCATCATCATGTACTCGGCAGCTCGCTCAGATACCCTCTTCTTGGGCGGTGAGAAGGTCAGTGGTGACGACATCAGAAACCAAAATGTCATGGCGGCACTTTCTGTCGCCAATGTCGTCAAATCCTCCTTGGGACCCGTTGGTCTCGACAAGATGCTTGTGGATGACATCGGTGATGTTACTGTTACCAACGATGGTGCCACCATCTTGTCGCTTTTGGATGTCCAACACCCAGCTGGTAAGATTTTGGTCGACTTGGCCCAACAGCAAGACCGTGAAGTGGGCGATGGTACCACCTCCGTTGTTATCTTCGCATCTGAGTTGTTGAAGAGAGCCAGTGAGCTTGTCAGCTACCAGGTTCACCCAACTACCATCATTACAGGTTATAGATTGGCTTTACGTGAAGCTATCCGTTACGTTAATGAAGTTCTTTCTCAGTCGGTGAACGACTTGGGTAAGGAGACCTTGGTGAGCATCGCCAGAACTTCCATGTC